TTCCTCAGCACCACATAAGCAAAAAGAAAAAAAAAGCCGGAAGTGGTGCTGTGGCTCAAGTGGTAGAACGCTAGCCTTGAGCTGAAGAGCTGAGGCCCAGAGTTCAGGCCCCACGACCGGACCCCAAAAAAAATTATATATATATATATATATATAATTAGTTCATGTATATATATATAACTCATCTATATATGAGTTATATATATTTATACATATATATGTATATGAGTTATACATGTATACATATAAATGTATAAAATTCATATATGTATGAGTTTTATCTATATATATATATGAAAAAGGGAGTAGAAAGTTATAACAATTATTCTCTATAATTCCATATCATCTTGTATAGTGATATATTATCATAGTATTATCATATTTATTTTTTAAATTTTATTTTATTGTAAAGATTATCATATATGTCTTCATAAAGCAGAAATAATACAAACTCCAGAGGAAGCATTAGGAAAAAAAACTATTTTTTTTCAAATAACCAACATCATTTAGAATTTATAGTGGAAGAAAAAAGTCACAAATATGAACCTGGTTCTGGCAATGTATATTCTGAATACCATCTGGCTATTGAAAAATTGTAAACCATCAACAGCTGTTTACCAGTATTTGGTTCTTTCTCCCAGTCAAGATGAATTTAGAAAGGCTGGGCTACCAACCCTTCTTAGCACTGCTATTGATTTATAAACTGCATCCATCAGGAGCCCTAGGGAGCACTCACCAATGGGTCTGCACATAATTAAATTCATCTCTAACCCTGTCAGCCACTGGGTGGTTTACAATGAACAATTATAAGGATCAAGAAAGCCAGTACCTGTTGTTGTGTTCTCCAGATGTCCATGTAGTGGACCTCGTAAAATCTTAAAGATAATCTCATCATCCTCAGTGTCGGGGTCTGATGCCTTCAGCACATGGGAAGTGATGTAAATCCCATAACAGCCATTTTTTAGGAGGCTCACTTGAGAAGGGAAATGCAAGTGTGTGATCCGGGGGGCTGTTTTGTCCAACTGGTCTACCTGAATTGTCAATAATCACATACAAGGTTATCCAAAAGCTTCTCATCCATGCAATGTGGAGCTCATGTGGGCTTTCATGATTCAATAATGATGAACTTTCCTAGGCATCAGATCCCTTAAATACCCTATTTGTTTGTTTCTGTTAATGCTTATTTGTTTACAGCAAATGTCACATTATCTGAAACAGGTCAAATTTCCTTAGTTAACCTTGTTCCCAATTCTATGAATCTACCTGACCCCTATTTCTCTCTTAAGATGTAAGCTTCATTGAGAGCATGTGCTGTGGTATACAAGGCCTGGACCACAGCAAGATCCCAGGAATATTTGTTGAACAAATTCACTAACACTGATCCAAGAATTCTATTGGCAAATTAACATTAGCACCACACAAGGGTTCTTCCCTGATTGTAGTGTTCGATGATTTAAGAAACAGAATTCTAAGTCTTTCCAAAAACAGAAAATTTTCATGGGCCTTTGTTCACCTGACAAAAGTGTTCCCTAAGTATAGAAATATCTCCAGGCATTGGTGGCTCACACCTGTAATTCTAACTACTTAGGGAGCTGAGATCTAAGTATCACCATTTGAAGCCAGCCCAGACAGGAAATTCTGTGAGATTCTTTAATTAACCACCAAAAATGGAGCTATGGTTCAAATGATAGAGCACTAGCTTTAAGCCAAAAAAAGCTCAGGCCCTTGGGGTCAAGCCCCAAGACTGACACAGAAAAAAATAATGGAAATACCTCAGAACAATGCCAATATGATTACAGTCAGGATTTGCATACTCTTTCCTTGAAGAGGAGGACCAGCTGACTCCATATGTGGATTAGACTTGTGAGGCAGAGAACAAGTTCAGACCCTACATGACTTCATCTTTATGTAATCATGTAGTTATTGCTATGGAATGCAACCTACCTTGCAAATGGTTGTTATAGGTCATTCTAGATAAAGCAGGTTTGCGTGGGTTAGCACAAATTCATCACTGGTACCAGAAAACAGATCCAAGAAAATTCCCTCTCTTTCTGTCACTCCTAAACTCTTAGTTCTCAACCTTACTATATCTGCAATCCTAACTACTTAGGTGTATTTAGTAAGAGTACAAAGATTGCCATCTGAGGCTCATGCTGGTCTGTGCAAAAGAGGGAGACTTCGTTTAAAAAATAAAAAAGTAAAAGGATCAATGGTGTGGCTCAAGTGGCAGAGTGTCCCTCAAGCAATTTATGACCCTTCAGTTAAACTCAGTAACAAGAGGGGGCTGGGGGAGAAGGAGGGAGAGATAGCAAGGAAGGAGGAGTAGGAGGAAGGGAAGGCAATGGGGAAAGGATGGAGGACATAAAAGAGGGAGGGTAATAAATAAAAGCAATAAATGCTTGCTGGGGTCATTGGTTAAAAAAAAACGTATCTAAACTCGAGTTGCTTGGTCCTCTACTGTGCTTCTGGTCATAGTCATGGTCAAAAATATCCTAGTCTTATTAACCCTTTAGCTTTTTCCTTAAAAGATCTCACAGCCTAGGCAAGCTCTATTAGTTCATCCACACTCTCAGCACTAAACCATTTCTCAGTATACCAAAAGTATCTTAAAACACTGGGGTACAACTTTTTTTAAGGAGAGCTATACCTTTTGATTACTCCTATTAGATTTACTAAAATGCTTCCCACACATGCCAGGCCCATAGAAGCAATGGGAGGGTCTTTTCTGCCTCACTTAAGCTCTGTTGCCTTTACAGAGGCCCTACAGATTGCTACCAAAAGAACGTCAGGCTATGACCCACTGGAGTCAGTCCAGTATCTCTGTGTTTTGCTCACGTTACTTCTAGCAGCTTTGCCCTTGGAGACCCACAGCCCACCATTAAAGCAGTTCCTCCATCTTTGGTACACTTGTTCAGAGCAATGCATCACTCAGTAGCAATAAATGTTAAGATTGTCTTGTCAGGAAAAGCTCGTAAAAGCAAGAAACAGAAGATACTATCTTTACTATACTGCTGGCAGGGCCAGCCATTCCCTGAGCCTCTTCATCTCTCTGCACAGAGACACCAGGGGTACAGGGAAATTTCAGGATATCATCTAAGCTTTCCTTGTGAGGTTTTTACACATAATGATGTTAGGATTCCTGCACATTAAGATGAGTGTAATATTGGGAGAAATGTGACTGAGTTATGGAACTTTCTACAAAGGCCATCGCAACTTCTATTTCTGTCCTAGAATGCTGGATGAAGCTCTATGTCTTCACTCAGAATGTATAACTCTTACAAATCTGAGCCAAACATAACCTATCAGTGACACTTATATTGATGATGTAATGTTTCTCTTCTTAGCCAATGTATCATCATTTCACCATATTTTCTGGACAAGTACCAAAGATTTGTCTAACTCTCAGTCTGTTATCATGACTTCCAACCCTAGATAGATACTCTGGAGGCTGATTTTGTGAGCCAATATTGCTAGGTTATGATGTCTAGTCATAATACTACCCTGGTCAAACATTAGGCTAGCTGTTTTAGTGAAGTTATATTTCCAGCTGTGATTCTTGTTTCAATCAATAGACTTTGAGTAAAGTGGATTTCTCTCTCTAAAGTGAGTGAGGAGCTCTCACAATGACTCATTCCATCCACCATGTTCCTTAAGAGAAAAGATCATGGGCCTCCAATGAAGAACGGACTTTGCCTTCATACTACCTTTGGATTCACAACGGTAATATCAACACCATGGAGATTTTAGCCTATTGGCTTGCTCTGTACATCATGGATGTGCCAGACACTACATTTGCATGTGCCAGTTCCTTAAAATAAGTCTTCATTTTTCTCCCTCTTCCCCCAAACCCTCTCCTTCTCTCTCCCTTCCCCCCGTTCTTTGTATTATCTATTCTAGACAAACATATTCATACTATATACATCACACACACACACACACACACACACACACACATTTTCTGTTTCTCTACAGAGCCCTAATGCAGACACTAAAGAGCAAGGTGAAAATAGAATTATTTTACTAGTTGGAGAGTATCCTGAAGTAGAGACAAAATTCCAATGTTTTAGCTGTTGGAAGTGTGTAGACTGGGGTGAACTCCATCCAAGGGGAGGAGATTTGTAGATTTAAAATGTTGAGAGCCAGAACATGCTTGATGTGTTTTGACTAAAAGAAGAAAAACACATTATGTCCTCTAAGAATCATCGAAAGAGACAACAAATGTGCAGTGGAATGCCATAGGAGGAATACAGAACTTGCAACCAGAAAGATTTGAGGCCTTTGTGTGGATGTGATCAAATCATGTAGCTTCTGAATTTCAGTTGCTTCATTTTCAAAATGTAGATGGTCAAAACTAGCCTCATAAGATTCTCAGGAGAATCCAATGAAGTTTATGGAAAATAGGTCCATCCTTTAGTTAACAACAACACAAAATGGAAGTTGCTGCTTCTATCTGCATCATTAGTATATTGGACATACTGATGTTGCCCTGTAAGCTTTCACATTTTCAGCTGAAAATTATGAAATGCCAAAAGGAAATACAAACCAACAAACATCACTCTAAGAAGGTAGCTATTATCGTCTTGAAATTGGATATCAAATATATTTCAGGAAATGCTACTACCTGGCAACCTAAGCTGGTTATAGACATGCTTTGTCAAAGAAAGAACAGTAGATTTAGAAAATGCTAAATAACTCAAGGTTTCACAGCTAGCAAATGACAAAAAGAAATTCACACCTAGGCCTGTTTAACTCTACTGCCCATGCGGAATGTGCCACCACCAACTCTTAATATCAGTCTGTACCCCATGAACAGGTACCATGACATTTCAGCCATATTGATGTGCCCTCCACGCTGCAGATACCCAAGCCCATACTTGCCTGAATGGTGAATGAAACAGGCTCTTCCTGCACTCTCCCATCCACAACAAAGCCACGGTTTGTCCTATCTGTGACCACAAAAGTAAAGCAGTCTGTGTGAGAGTGACCTCCTGAATGCTGATAGGCCACCTTCCTGCTGTCCACATCCTGCTGAGTGAAATTGAGTTGGATCAGCACTGACCCCCTTAGGTAGAGCTGGCCATGCTGTGGGAGCTGATCCAGGATGAAGGTGAGGTTTTCTGCAGAGGTATCTGGGTCAGTCACTTGGAGTTGGTCAGGGGAGAGCAGACTCATGGCCCCTTCAGCCAACCTCAGCCCTTTGTTTCTGGTTACCACAGGCAAGGCTTTGTCCACAGTCTCCAGTATGATTTCAAACACCCCATGCTTTGTCTGCAGTCCATTACTGATGATGAATCTGGCAAAGAGAGGCAAGGCAGCCTTCAGCATGGATTCTTGTGTCACCAGCTACTGGAATGAAATGATAATAATACACACCTTTACTAAAGGATATGTGGTGGTGTGACTCAAATGAAAAATCAAGGGCAGATCTTTGAGAAGAATGTCTCTTTGTCAGTAAACCTCCCACTGGTAACACACAAAGGGAACACTCTTTGTCCAAGAGGTCCTTTCTCAAAATTGATGGAGCAAGTGGGTTTGTCTGTTCACTGTGGTTCCTTATCCCAAATAGGAATTTTACATCCAATTAGACTTAGTGTATGAGTTAGAAGCATATGCTCATTTTTATATATTAAGAAATTTGCAATTGTATTTTTCCATGGGAATATAGTAAGCTGAACTTTGAAGACTGATAGAGAGCCAACAGAGGAAGTACCAAAAAAAGGCTGAATTTGATTAATTTGTCTATTCATATGTTTCCCTGGCAAATTTCTTAAGGGCAGATCACATTACTCAGCAATATCGTTTTAGCTACATCTTTCTGGGCCTTGTTTTTACACCAATGAAGGAGCTGGAACAGGTGATCACTGAGTTCCAACTCTACAATACTTTGCAAGACTATGACCTCTAGCCATTTACATGTTCTTTTACTTTGCTCCTTTTAAGGTGTTAGAGTTGTGTTAAACAAGGAGTCCTTACCTATCTGAAAAAAAAAAAAAAAGAAAGATTCAGAAACTTGATGGGAGAAGATAAGGCAGGTACAATGCTGAGTCAGGACTAGAACTTGGGCCTTTTGACCCTATTCCTTCTACTCTAAAAGAGTTGTAAATAAGCGCTGGTTTAGTAACCTGCTGAAAAAGAGTTATACACTTGAACACCACGAACAAAACAAGGAAACAAGGTAAAATAATACCTACTAAAGCATAAGTCATCTTATTGTATTGGGTTTATGATACCACAACATGCTTTTGATGGTATTGATCACTAAGTCCCAGTTTATCCATTGCAATCATTTTCCTGGTAACACTAATTTAAGTGAACTTTATAACATTTCAACATGTTCATTTTATTTTTAAGAAAATTAAGAAAATCATGAAATTATTCAACTAAGATGCAATATCAAAACTCCAAAAAGTTAAGAAACCACTACTATTACATGAGACTGACGATCTACCCTAGACCAATTGGGGATTTGGGGATTAACCACAGTCAGGTCTTCTTCATTTCCTTCTGTACATGTACATAATTGCTAGAAATATCCATGAGGAGTACAGTTACCATTTCCAAAAACAGTACTAACTTTGCTGGTAAGTTATCTGTCATGAAAAACTCTCTTTGAAGATTTTTTTTAGACTAGAGATGAAGCTTATATCTATTTTACCAGTCTAATAAATTCAACTAACAAATTATTTTGTTTGTAGGAGTATTGGGATTGAACTCAGGGCCAGACACTGTACGGCTCAAGTCAACCTCCAGTCCTAATATTTTCTTTGTTTCTATATTTTAATTTTATTTTTTATGGTATTGGGGATTTAACTGAGGGCCTTGCACTTATGAATTAAGCACTCTACCACTTACATCAAACTCCAGCTGCCAGACTGTGTCTGGTCATTTAAGGTTTAGGGGTTAGAACTTTTCATCTAACCATAAAGAAACCTGAAACTGGGTAAGGGACCCAGACAAAGAATCCAGGAAGAAGACTAATTCCACAAAAAGTAAAGGAAGATAGGTTGGTTGTTGAGTATATGTTTTGCTTTAAAGGCAAGGCTGAAGGATTTCAGTTTTCTAATTAGGGTCAGTGAGACCATCTACAAGATAGTGATGTAATACCCAGAACAAGGAACCAATGCCCCTCAAAGCTGAAATGACTAAATGAGATAAACATACAAAGTGAAATGTGACATTTCACATATCTAAGTTTGTAAAGAATGTAAGTTACTTTATTATTCAACAGCAGCATTTTCTTCAGGTTCTCAAGTTCCTTTTAGATGGGGTAAAATCACTTCCCTTAAAACAAATCAGTTTTCCTTTTGTGAAGCTAAATCTTTGATTAGTATATTCTAAGCAACTAAGGCAATTTTGTTGCTCAAGAAGTGTCATGAGACTTATTTTTGCATTAAACAAAAACAAAAACACACAAAAGAAGCATACCTAGAAGATATTTTGTTATTTCAAATTTTACTTTAGTCACCTGGGCAGAATCTACCCGAAAGTCATATATATATATATTGGATATAAAATCATGCTGTATTTCTCAGGTAAAACCTTTCATGAAAATTGTGCTTTTATTCTATTCTTTTTCTGCTACTTTTCCATATTCTGCCCTCCCCCTGGACTCAAGGTGAAATAAGAACTTAGAGATAGGACTTCCAAGCACTCTTTTATCTACATCACGCCTGAAGTAGATTTCTCATTGCCAATTTAACCCTATTTCACAAGTGAAGTGGCTCTCTCTCTATCTCCTGACTCATCCTAATATCAAGTGTGCTTCGGTAGAGTTTTGAATCAGCCATTGAAAATGTAGCATCAGTGTAGGCCAAAGGACATAGACGTTTAGTATTAGCAATAATTGGGGACTTTTAAAGCTTTGTGCCCCATTAAAAACCTGTCAGGTATCAGCATAGAAGGAAAGAGAAGAAAGGGCAAAGGAGGAGAGAGATGAGGATCAATGAACACCAGGCTCCATCTGATGCAGCCATTTTTAATGTCTAACTCTGATTTTCCTCCATAGAGACACAATGATGAAGATGTCCTTTGAGGCTAAGGTCCTCCAAGCGTGGTGTCAGGACTGCTGCATTTGCTCGACATGTGTGTGACCTCCGTGTGGGCACTGACGTTGTCTCATGATCCGGCTGTCTAGCTCAGACTCCTCCTGCCCGATGCTGGGGATCTGACCACAGTGGAAATAGGCAGCCTGCCATCAGACAGATGGGAACGAGGGCATGCAGGCCAGGGACCATGGAAGTGAAAGAAATATGTTTACTGAGGCCAGTGTTCCCAGCTGGGACACAGAGGCAGCTGTCTGCACTGACCTAAAGCTAATAAGCCAGGGGTGGAAGGGGATACAATCTCTAAACATGACTGGATCAAATACATCATTCCACTTTCGTGAGTAACAATGCACTGCAACTCACCGGCAGAGCAGCATTATCAGAAAGGGACAGAGTGAATGGTTATGGTTGGGTTCCCAAGCAAAATGAAGCTAGCAGAGCAAGTAAGACAAGGTCAGTGCAGCTCAGGTCTGCAAAAGTGGACCAGATGATATTCCAAAGATGCTCACACACACACACACACACACACACACACACACACATACACACACACACACACACACACACACACACACCAATTCTGCAAATATATTCTCAAGATTTAAAACAGTGGTGCCATTGCTATGTGGGTAACCATCCTATGGTAAAAATCTGGCTAAATAAAAGTAGCAGTGCCCTCTGCGGGTGCATTTTGCTTAATTTCTCCTGCCATACCCACCCCTGCAAAAAAAAATTTAAAAAGCAGCCACAGCTAAGATGACCACGCTTTTCATAAAATTTGAGGGAATGACTTCAGATTTGTCTGGGGTATTTGCCTGGTCTGATTTCACCATTACCATGGTGCTTTCAGGCTTTTCTGCATTTCCTGGCAATAGAGTTGGCTGAAGAATCTGCCATCTGTCATGGCATTTAAAAGATAAAAATGGAATCATAAATAGCGCTAGCTCCTCAGAAAGGAAAAAAAAAAAAAAAGTCCAGCCGGCCTGTCAAAATGGAGGGCATTAGCATGTTCTTTTAGTACCCGGCTGCCAGCAGCTGAAGTCAGCTTGCTAATCACTTGATATCGTCTGTCCTAGAACAAGCTGCCAAATCTCTCTTCCAGGCCAGCAGCACCAAACAATGCAGGAGAAATTTATGATTCACAAAATATTTTTGCAGAAGGTAAAAATCCAACCATTAAACTCTCCTGTTTAATTAATGCTGTCATATCTTACATTAAAAAGAGGGGAAAGAAGACTCCTCTACCACAGAATTTATCTCTGCTACCCAGCCAAATTCCTTGCCAAATTTAATAGCAAGCCACATAAATTTAGGTGATTAGATTGGTTGCATATATTTAATTTTTAAAAAGCGCCCCATCACACTTTCATTAAGACAGGCTTTCAGCTTTGGTTCAGAGCCACCTGACAAACAACACAGTGGTCTGTGATTGGGTTAGTGAAATGACAAGATTAAAATGCAGATCTTGGGCAGATGCGAGGCTCTTCCATTATAAATATGTAAAACTGCTGGCCAAAAATCAGAATGACACACGGAAGAGGTTCCTTCCCACCAAGACATAGTCCCCAACAATTTTCGGTACAACAAGGTATTATGGAAAAACTCTCTACTGAAAATGAGCTCTGAGCTTTGAAGTGAGCATTGTTACTCAGTTATGTGAATTTAGATATCTCCCTTTGCTCCTTAGAGCTTTGCTTATCTTGTGCATACATTGGTAACAAGGATATTTCTTTTTCTCACACAGAGAGATGCTCTATATCAATTTACATTTTTTTCTAACCTTTTAACTAGTGGAAACCAGAAATTTTATATACTAAAATCTTAATTTCATAAATGACACAGAAATAAACCCAAGAAAACAATATTTTTAATTCTAGCTGAATATTACTGTCAAAAGATCAGGGCCTGCAGCCTGCACTCCCTTTGTTAAAAAGTCAAAACTAAGTATGAAGAACAGAGCCACAAAGATGTACAGGCACCAACCTGAGATTTCATTCCTTCAGGGCCACGCTTTGTGTGTGTGTGTGTGTGTGTGTGTGTGTGTGTGTGTGTGTGTGTGTGTGTGTTTGCCGGTCCTAGGGCTTGAACTCAGAGCATGGGCTATCCCTGAGCGTTTGTAGTCAAAGCTAATGCTCTACCACTTGAATCACACTGCACTTCTGGCTTTTTGGTGGTTAACTGGAGATAAGAATCAGCTGGCTTTTAACTGCAATCCTCTTGATTCCCCTTTGAGGTTATTCCCTGCCCCTATACCAGCCCACATCATCTTGTATCTCTTTGTCACCACTGATACAAATCAATGGATTTAGGAAATAGAATAACAGTCTTTTTGTTAAAGAATCCCTGACCCAAAAGTCCAGTGTGAAAAACAGAAGGTCAAAAAACAAAACAAAACTAAGTCCCATAAGTAAACTGTGACAATGGCCCATCCAGACATAGAGACATTCCTGGGACAACTAAATTTTAAGATACCTTCAACTGTGAGGGTTAGTTAGGAGGGTTTTACTGTATCATTTTCTTACACAAAGATTTTCTTTTCTATTCTCATCAGCTCATCAATCCTTAACCTTCATTTCTCAGCATCCATAAACATTTGCTTGCTAGCTTTTCCAGCAGTGTAACATGCTCATTAATGACTTTAGCAGACTTCCTGGTAGATATTGACTTGGGAAAGCAGGAGTAGAGAGAAACAAGAAGTTCCAGAAATTGGGTGTAAAGTTAAAGTGTATCTGACACCTATGTGTTAAGCAAGAAGCACGGGTCTCCATTAGTGAACAGAAGAAAAGATCCCAAGTTTGCTCCTCATCCTCACTTCTTTTCCCTTCCAAGGTCAAGTTTCAAGGTAAGGATGGCAAGAAGGAGGTCAAGGAAAGAATATATTTACTGTATAAGGAACATAATAAAGTCAGCTACTGCTTATTTAGTTCTGCCCCTATGTCCCAGGTATTGTTTTATGCACCTTACATGCACAAACTCACTTCAACCTCCCAGTGATCCACCTTGACAGGTGCATTGAGTAACACCCTATTTCTCGCAAGAAAAGGAGCAGCCCCAGAGAAAGGCTGTGTAACTCAAGGGACTCCATAAGGCCACAAGTCACAGGTTGTACCTTAATCCAACACCATGCCATGTCTCAAACCAGCTGGAAGAAGAGCAAATGAGCCCTTCTCTCACCCCCACCCCCCAACTTCTGATGCTATAATGAACATTAAACTTGGCTAAGACATTGATCAAGTATCTGCTTCTCATCCTTATCCTCAGCTTCGGCTGAGGATGGTCCTTGGAGAGTTAGCTCTAAAATTTTCACATTAAGGATCATCACAATAGATTTGGCCATGTCTTGCTTAGTCAAAAAGAAATGGTAGGTCAATCTAATTTACATAGTGTATAGATGTCACACAAAATAACTGCATCTAGAATACAAGGACATTTGTGTGTATCAATACATAACACATGCCTTTACCTGTCACATATAAATGTATTAATGTTGAATATAATGAATATTTCAAATGCCTGCTTATAAAATTTGCCATATAAAAATTTGTTATTTTCTGAATAAAAAAGAATATTCATCAAGAACAAAAAAGAAGGTATTATTAGTTCAAGCATCCCTAGATTCTTGGTTTAACACTTGAACTATCAAGATTATGTTTCAGAAATCATTTTAAATGCTCCAAAGGTGGACAAAAAAATCCTCTTTCTGACATTTAAACTCTGTTTAATCTTGGCAGCCATATTGAATTTAGATAGGTAAAAGGATGCTAGAGGAGAATGGTGTTTGAGGAAGGATGCCTTGGTAATACTCTGTCATTTACAAATCATGTGGAGTTTGCTATATTTGTCTTAGAGGCTGTATTGAACGTGGGGAATTTGACTAGAGCTAGAGGCCCTGTGTATATGGTAGAGAAATCATTGCTCTTATTCGGTTAAACTCAAGGCTGGTTTATGTATCAGGTTCCTGGAGGGCCAGTCCAAGCTGCCCTAATCCTCACCCGGCCTGTCAACCTCTACCCACACACCTAGGTACAGCCAGCTTTGAGAGCTGCCAGGAGAGATGATAGATCTAGAGTTTTTCTTGCTTTATGGGACGTGGAGCTAATTTCCATATTCTAAATGAACAAAAATTTTTATTAATGTTGTATCCTTGCCTTTTTCATCGGACTGTTATTCACTGCAATGATGTATTTGATACAAAATTCTTGACCAGGTGCACAGTCCCCAGTCATAACATTGTTTCTAAGGGGAAACAGAATCCACTTTGTGACAACATGATTTATGACACACTTACAAGAACACTGTGAGTCAAAAGGCAGTGTCTGCTTATGCCAAATTTATTATGCTAATAAATGCCTTTCCCGCCGATGGAAAAACATACTCAGAGAGGAGGGAAATTACTTTGTGTGTCTTTCCTTGGCCAGAGCCCTCAGTGTCTCTTACTCATCTCTGAGAAGAGCTTGCTTTAGACCTGCAAGCTGCATTTTTTTTGCCACCCACAGACCCTAGTTTCTTGCCTTGCCACTATCATTTTAACTATGCACATTCATCTTTCATGCAGCTAAAACACATAGCTGCAACAAAATTACACTGTCCTATTTCTCTCCCTTTTTTTTTCTATTTGCAGCTTGCAGCATTGAGGTTTGAACTCAGGGCCTCCCCCTTTCTAGGGAAATGCTCTATTACTTGAGCTATGTTCCCAAGTCTTATTGCTTTATTTTGGAAATAGGGCCTTGAGTTTTTGCCCAGGACACACTGGATAGGGATCCTCTTATTTGCCTCCTGAATAGCTAGGATTACAAGTACCTGCCCCCTGGCTAACTTATTGGTTGAGATGAGGGTCTTGCTAACTCTTCTCCCAGTCTGGCCTCAAACTATGGTCATACCAGTCACCACCACCCATGTAATATGATTATAAGCATGAGCTACCATGCCCAGCTTTTCTTTTCCTTTCTTTTTAAAATAAAATTTATAATGCACACTTAGACTATACAACGTAATGTTATGAGAGACATTACCAAATTGTTACCAAAGAATAGCATATGAACATACCTGCTTTTCACTTTCTAAGAATTAATAAGAGGAAGAGATTCAGCAAAGGTTCCAAGTGGCTCACCTGAAGCTGTCATGGCAAACTGCTGCCTTGCTCATGTGAACGTAGCAAACTGTCTGTCCTGCAACATCCATTTGACTGAAGCTTGTGATGGGAACTCCAGGATAGCGGACATATTCCACCTGGCCATGCTGTGGCGGGGAGGTGATGACATACACCAGTTCCTCAGGCCTGTCTGTTGCATCCACAGCCAGGAGCGTGGAGGTCGTCAGGATCCGCCGATCACCTTTAGACACCACCAGTGGTTTTGCAAGAATGACGATGTCACCTATGTAGAAGACAAGATTGTGGTCAGTAACCATATTTAAAAATAGCTAACATTGAAAGTAAGGTAAAAAAACAAACAAAGGCCAAAATATGCCCAAATCAAAACTATCTGAAACATAGAAAGCTTTATATACCTATTATAGATAAAAGGTGTATGCACAAAATGAGAGGCCGTTCAGAAAAGGAAGAGAAAACACATGCAGACATACTTGGGTCTCCTTTCTTTCTGGCTCATGGCTCACATTTCTACCACCTAGGTTCCCTGAATTTGCAAACCCATGCCCTAGACAGGAAGTACATTACCTTCAAATCCAGTTGACAAAATCCTACTCATGACATTTCCCTCAACATCTCATTTTCTGAGTAAGTGTAAGGCCTTCAGAGATTGAGGGCGAGGGAGGATCCACATAGAAAAGGTCCCCAAACCTGCACAGAACTGAGTTTCCCTCCTCTGCTGTGACCCCATCATGCTAAGGCATTCGAGGAGAGCCCACCCTTCTTCATTAACTGTCTGTGCCCATGATTTGCAATACATTTTGACTGAACATGTAATGAACATACTTTTTTGTCAAGAGAAATTAATGTACAAAATAGCATCTATAGTATATCACTTATTAGCAATTCATCCTACAACAAAAAAAATCAAGCAAAAAAATATAACCACAAATAAATATCTCAACATCAACTAGTTTATAAAAAAATTATTTCAGGACAATTGTAAGTACCACACACTTAATCATCCGATTTACTTCCAAGTTACTTGGTAGTCAAAATTTGAGTGAGAAGACAGACAGAGACAGAGTTGGAGAGAGGGGAGAAGGAGGAAGAGAGGGAGGGAGGGAGGGAGGGAAGGAGAGAAAGAAAGAGAGAGAAAGAAAGAAAGAAAGTCAGAGAAGCATGAACAAGATAGGATTCATACTATCTTCACACAAGCTGTAGTGACAATTCAACAACAATAGTGTCTACTCTTAATTGTCTAGTGGGTTTCACAGATTTTTCCCTTCATTTGCCATTTATAAGCTGCTGACTTGTATTAGTATGTGAGCTGCCTAATAAATTAAAGTGAAGCTTATTCTCTTACAGTGAAGCTTAATATTTTAGTGCTTTTTCTCTCCCTACAGAGTGTGCATCAGTACTTTTCAAAGTGAAAAGTAATGACTTTCAACTTCTTTCAATGGCAAACTTCCTTCTGTTTATTTCTTTATTAAAAATATTCCACTTTCTTATTTTTATATTGCAAACATTTTTCTTTTGAAATACTATTTTCAAATTCACCTCCTGAAGACAAAATTAGAAATATATCACTGTGGTAAACTCCTAATCATTAAAATGGCTTTTGTAGCCACATTCTGGGAAAGGCTAGATTTCTAATAGGAAATAAGATCATCCACTCTCAAGATCACAAATCCCAGAAAGAGCAGGTGAGGTATCCAAATATGGATTGACAAATGAGAGAATTTGATAGATGGATAATGGAAGGAAGAAAGGAAAAAAAAGGAGAAAGAAAGAAATGTTGAATATATATGTGACAGCTCACTTCTGGTTATAGAAATGGGTGTCAAGAAACACTAGTAGACATACTTTTACCTTTTCCCATGTCCTTAATGGTGATGTGACAATCATATGCAGGTGATCTGTTGTCACCATCCCAGAGGTAGAAGGTAAAGCTATCTCCATCGTGGGAGTCAATTGCCCCCGTGTGTGTATACCTCAGCAAGTTCAGATCCACGTCCATCTGGGTGCATTTCATGCCAGGGGAGAGAGGGACCCAGCCCCTCCTTATCTGAAAGATGCCAGGAATTAGTCAGCTGCCCCCGGGTCTCCTCGGAAACACCAAACTATTTCTTGCCATGTTACATTATATTTTTCCTTTCAAATAAATATGCTAAAATAATTTAAGACATTGGGAGGGGGGAATCATCTTTAACCAAAGGACTTTTAACAACGTTATGTGACAATTCAACGGCAATGGTATTTCCAAAGTATTTATCATATGCAATCATGGATGATTAAATATTCTAATTAATGAGAGCAGGTGGTTAATTTACCTGCTAGAATGGTTTCTTTACAAATTAAATGTGTTTTCCCCCCTTTAAAAAATCATAACACTATACAACTAATCCAACCTATTTTTTTAATGGTTTATTACCAGACTTAGCTGATAAAAGGAGAAATTGAATGAATGCATTTATTCCTCAGGCTATTTTTCAGTTCTACTGAGACCTAAAGAAAATGATCAGGACCCAAATCTCCTAAGTTAGCAAAAATATAAGCTCTCAATACTATCAGAATCTTCCAAATACAATCAACATGAGGAAGTAAATATTCTGCACAGAGTTTGATGTAGAAATTGTAGAAATCATTTTCAATTACAAGTTGTTCTCATGCTGAAGGACTGGCCAACAATTGAGAGTATTCAAGTGAAAAAAATAAATCTTTGTTGTATTATTCTCTTAGGACACACACAGTTTTCCCTACCAATAGCTCCTCAAAAGTTATCAGGTATGATTCAAGTATAATGCCACATATTACAAGATTATATTGAATTTTTTTCCATCTGAGTAACAGAAATTTCAATCATTAACTCTTTATTTCCCTTTGGTTATCCCACAGACTTTCTGTTCCTAGAGAGAAATGTTTGTCCTTTTTTTACCCAGGTATGTTACCATTTCTCTGTGTCATTCTGCCTGATACAGTTCCTTCCTCCTTAATACTTCTCCCTATCTGATACTTGCAGATGGACTTCAACCCAGGGCTCATTGGATACAAGTTAATTATATTTTAACAGCTACACAATATTTGTTTCCATCATAATATCTATTTGCAAGTAGAACTTTTCAGATGGACCTTCCTTTGAAATTTTGAACTAAGCTGCCTGAAATTTGCTTAAACATTTCCTCTTTGTAAATCTTGACAAAGAAAAAAATTAAAGAAGTAATCATCTTTTGCTCTCTTCACCTCCATCTAACTTCTTAGTTATACATGACTTGACAGAATGATAGGAAAGCCTGAAATAGGAAAATAAGAGTCTGCCTCAAAAATGAGAAGACAAGGAAAATCAACAAGAAAACAAGAGCCTTTGAGAGGGTTCAGAAGACTTAGGGAGCCAACCTGGGGAACCCTGAGGGGGCTGGGGAAGAATGGGGTGGAGCCCTACCAGGCCCCTGGCTGGTCCCATCTGGATTTTCACATATCCAAAGCAGTTCAGTTCCCAAGCCACCTAAATGGGTGAGTGTTCACTGCATTTCTGCTTCATTACTCCCTGAAATGAAATAAGGGCACAGCTGTACCTCAATTTAAATCAGTGACTGCTCTTCACTGTGATTCTCTATGGTGCCTACAGACTAAGACAATCAAGCTGTTCCACACACACACAGAAGGAATCCTTCCTGAATTCCTAGGACTGAGTCTATGTTCATGAAGAGTTACATATTCGCTCAGATAATCACATTGGAGATGGCAAGTGGTTGCTGCTTGTCTTAATCCACTATTCAAATAAACATTTTGATCGATTACTGGAAATGACTTTCCTTAAGTGACTGATCTATAACTAATGGTGGGTTATCCCTAACACAGTCTGAATCAGACTGAAATTTTGCTATTCTAGAAGTGAAGTGAAAGACGATCAGACCATCCTCAAGCTGTTGTAAGTCAGCAGTGGAACCCAGGTGACTTACCTTAGGTACATGGGGCATAGTATGATGTTTCTGCTGTTTCCATTAGAGCAAAAGTAATTTCCAGAACACATGCAACTCCAGGAATGTTAAGTTACTTCATCATGCAGTTTACTGGATTCAAATATGGCAGGTGTTAAAATCTAATAGATGTCAATGTGGGTGTTATGGCCTCCATGTAAAGCTCCCCCAATGGACTTCATGGCTCAAGACTTAGATCACTCAGACCTTAACCTAAGGAAGGGAGTATGGGATTGTGGATAAAGGTCCCAACCTTTCCGGTTTAAAGTCTCTCTCAGGGGAATTCAGACAATTTGGTGTACATTGTGGAGTACGTTGCTTCCCTAGAGGGAGGTGAGAATTCTCCCTATAGAGAATCATCAAGAAGGCAGGAACGGGTAATATTAAGACTTGGTAATACTTAGACTTGGAGTCTAAAGGGGAAAGAGCTTGTGTCCCAGGTACTGCCTTCAGTTTCTGCACTACAAAAGCAAGATCAGGCAGAGACCATTGTTGGGTTAGGAGAGAAAGAGCTGGGAAGCTGCCACAGGCCCCACCATCATAAAAAAAAGATTACTTTTTGCATGCTTCTGAAAGTGGGATTCAAACCTGGAAAGAGAGAGAGAGAGAGAGAGAGAGAGAGCTGACAGATAAGAATTGATTGTTGGTAGATTTGAAGGAGTTTTATGATTGAGGTGCTAGATTCTAAAAAGGAAAGTGATGTGGATCCATAGTTAAAAATCTGAGGGAAATAAAGATGTCCTAAAAGCTGCCAATTCTCTTCAGAAACTAGACAGCTTGCTTTTCCTGGTAACTTCTTCCCGGACAACCCCCCAGAGAAGGAAGCAATGAAAAAACTTAACAACATTGATTAAATTTACCTGGAACTGAGTAAGAAATTTTAAAAGGGCCTAAGTTTAACCCTAGGCTAGGAAAATCAGATTTTCTACTCTTGGACAATAAATAGGACTATTAGAGAAGAGTTGGAATTGTACAAATGTGTATGTTGAAAATACTTTGACCTGCCATGCTCATTTTGAACAAGAAAGATAAAACGGGCCCTCACCTTAAGTTGAAGTTGTCCATTTTGGGGAAGCTTTTCAAATAAATAGTAAATCTTCTCCCTGGGGGAGTCTTTATCTATTGCAGAAAGGACAGCACTTGACAGGATACGAGTATCACCCACATTCACCACAACTTCAGCCTTCCTGAAAGAGGAAAATGAATGGTAAGGTTGATAGAAAACTTGGAGGTGTTCCCTGAGCAGGGTACACTGACACTCTGTTAGAATTCCCACCTTCCAACTCATAAAGGAATGTCCCAAGAATTCAAAATGATCAGTCAGGCACATGACCTAGGATTCAGTTTGCTCTTGCTCTTTTGCTTAACACATAAAAGTCTGAACAAGAAGACAGTGGCTGTGAATAGGGTACCAGGTCGCTAAATACTTCTAATTGGTGACATGTTAAAAAATCATTTTTTAATTTCCAATATTTCATTTGGTACTCATAACAATATCTCCATCAAATAGAGGGGCCAGTAACAATCCTTGTAATCTTACAGACAGAAACTTCCTGAAAATGATTTACACCCTCTCTGAGTTCAGTGCTGTTTTTAGATTATCTGTGACCCTGTGAATTGCTCTTGCTGCCCCTGGTAATGTCCTGATGGTTGTGTTCTTACAGAGATTCATCTTCTCTCAGGGCTAGAGAGTTGGGCTAGCGGTTGGCGTGGCAAACAGCCGAGAGACACAGGGCACCGGCTGGGCTGTGAGCAGCTGCGGCATCTACCCTGGATACTACCGCTTCTATAGCCAGTATGGCCATTCTCCCTGGTCTCACCCAAGGAAGTCATGGACCTTTCTCACCAGTGTTTCTAACTCTCCACAGCACATCCTCACACATGCTTCTTCTGTCCACCGTAACAGCTTTGTTTCTCGAGAAATGTCTGGATGGCTGCAATACTTGGGATACAGATCAATGACACTGGGAATCACCAGCTGGCATCAGCCTTCCACTCCTCTATCAAGAAGCCAAATTCCAATCACCTCCATTTCAAGCTCTCTCACCCAGGGAGTGCTTCTTGCCAACCCAGAAATTTCATTTTCCCTGAAGTAGATTTTTCCCCTGTCTTTTAACAGAGAATAGTTAACCCTAGTATTCTAGAAGGCTAAGCCTCTTGGTTGGGAGTTAGTAATGGAGATTAGTGGTGCTATTTATACAAAGAGACAGATTAATCAAAACAGGAAGCCAATAACATGAAGAAGATAGGGAGTTGGGTAGGAAGGAAGTGTCAGAATCAGATGTCAGAAAAGTCAAAGATATCCTAATTTAGTCACCCTAAAAGGGATTTTATTTGGAAAGTGATCACAGGAAACAGAAGAGAGGGAGTGAAAAAGGGAGAGGAGAGGGGACAGTGGTTTGGCTGCTTTGGGCAGTTGGGAACCAGTCTTGCTTGAGGTTCATTTTGTATTCTGTTATTTTTTTTAAGAGATAGGATTTCACTACATTGCCCAGGATGGACCTGATCTCTGGGCTGAAGAGATGCTCTTGGACTTAGCCTTCCTGAGACTACATGCATGTAACACCAAGCCCAGATGCTGGGGATCTTTGGAGGAACCATGCAGAATGTGACTAACCTTGTATATTTGCAGGACAGGAATCTGGGATACTTGCCCTCTCCATCAGCCCCTAGGTTAAGGGCTACTATCCCCCAGAATTCTCTCTACTATGCCTAGACATAGGCTGAATGTGCCGCTAAAGTTCACAGAGGGCCTTGGACATATTCCTTTACTGCGCCAGAATAATCAGACATTGGGTGAGGAGGGGGAAGCATGGTAATTTGGAGAACTAAATGCATCTCCTAGAGCACATAGAAGGACTATTAAAGAAATGGCATTGGTATACTACTGGGCACCAGTGGCTCACCTCTGTAATCGTAACTACTCAGGAGGCTCAGATCTGAGGACTGCTATTTGAAGCCAGACCAGGTAGGTAAGTCCGTGAGACTCTTATCTCCAATTAAGCACCACAAAAGCAGAAAGTAGAGCTTTGGCTCACAAGGCAGAGTGATAACCTTGAGCAAAAAAGCTGAGGTACAGTGCCTAGGCCCTGAGTTCAAATCCCAGGACTGGCACAAAAGAAATTGTATTAAATGCTCTAATAGAGCCCAGTGTGGTGAGACAAGCCATTAGATTGGGTGAGAGTAGCCTAAATAAAGTGGTAACGGTTGGAGACAGTGGGCAATAATGGAAGAAACTGGCGAAAGCTACTCTTCCAAAAAGTTTGGCAGCAAAGGAATAGAAGACTGGATTATCTCTGTGTTTTTAGAATGAGAATATCTACCTGAAATCATGGAAATAATGAAACAGGATCACCCAACATGCACTAGCTGGTCTTTTCAAGCAGTTCTACATATCTGAATTGACAATCTATGGCCTGAATACTCCCATGCACAGACCAGTTAACAGAGAGGTGAGAGCAGAAAGAGCAAGTTCAAGCTCACTCCACTGTTACGTGGCTGAATAAAACCTGTCTGAGTCCATCATCAGCTCTCCTAACTACTAACTATATCACTACGTCTCAAAACAGAAAGACTAGAAGGAGGAAATTGGAGATGCAGGACAGACAAACAGGAGAGGATGTTCTGAAAGAAATCAAGGTGTTTTACTCAAAGACACATGGAAGAAAAAGAGAGAACATGGCTTCTTCTCCACAAGAGAGAAGGAAAGAGGAAAAGGAAAGGGAGGGACTTTGAATCACTTGCTAAATATCAGAGGTATTTAGATATGCCAAGCCTGATCTCACCATTGCATATGTACATGTGGATTGAAATGTTCTATGCATCCACGTACACTTACAATTAGTATGGAGGGAGACTTTCGAAGCAAGGTTGAATGAGATTTGGTGGTTGGGTAGCTATAGCTATTTCAGGAAGATTAGTTTTTGGTTTTTTTTTTTTAAGGATGTGATCTTTGGAGTCAGACAAGCTTGAAGAGTTCCTGGAGTATGTTTTTTGTTGTTGTTTATTTTATTTTGTGCTGGTCCTAGGGCTTGAACTCAGAGCCTGACTATACCTGAGCTGCTTTTGTTCAAGGCTAGCATTCTACCACTTGAGCCACAGATCCCAGCCTCCTGAGTAGCTAGGATTATAGTTATGAGCCACCAGCGCCCAGCAGAGTAAGCAGTTTTAACACTCTGGCTTGATTTTTCTCAGTGAGGACAATAATACTACTTGTCACAATTTGAGTGATAAAGGTAATATGTATCAAAGAACTTTAACATTATGCTGTCACATGGTAAATACTCATGCTAGTCATCAGTCCTCTTAGATAAAGTGAAATTAGCAGAAAATGGTTTTGTAATAATGTAAAAATCCTTCTTATTTTCATATTTAGTCATCAAAACCAAACAAATCTGACATGCCAGCTTCTGAATAAGAATACAGAAATTTCTGGTGAGTACTTTTAGTCAAACTGATGTCTGTGAGGCCACTTTCCAAAAAACTATCACCAGTATATTTCGTATAATGCTTTTGAAGGAACTTAGGGAACAGTAGCAAGTTGTTGGGGTCTTGTTTAAGCCCCCTGTGTGCATAGTGCAGGACATTGCAGATATTTAGATGTTTTCAGGAAGGTGTTCAGTTCCTGATAAAACCCAGACTAGCCAAGCACTGGTGCTGGTAGCTCATGCCTGTAATCCTAGCTACTCAGGAGGCTGTGAGCTGAGGATCATGGTTCAAAGCCAGCCTAGGCAGAAAAGTCTGTGGGACTCTTACTTCCAATTAACCACCAGAAAACCAAAAGTGGTGCTGTGGCTCAAAGTGGTAAATTGTGAGAAAAAAAAAAAAGAAAGAAAAACCTCAGAGACAGCACCCAGGCCCTGAGTTCAAGCATCACAACCGACAAAAAAAAAAAAAAACAATACCCAGGCTAACTGACACCTATTGCTGGTGTGTCATTGAGTAAAGAACAAGGTATTTGCCTATGGATGGTCCTGGACAACCTCTGGGCTTCCTCAATTCTGTATCATCTGTGTTCTTAGCACAGCTCTGCACAGTTGCCAGTTCTAAAAGGAATGGCCAGAACTGTAAGACTATAACTGACAAAAACTCTCTCCTATAAAGAAACCCTAAGACGCTACAGAGGGAGTTTGCCATTAATAATACACAGTTTTCTAAAGTAGCCATGAATGGTGGGTTTCTGATCCATATACAATATAGTAAAAGACTAGAACCAAGGAGAACTGAACTGATAAAAGCAGCAGCATTGGTTAGTCCCTCTATTACCTCTAATCAAGGTTTGACCAAATCCATTGGGATCGCTATCTGCATTGTGTGTGTGTGTGTGTGTGTGTGTGTGTGTGTGTGTGTGTGTGTGTCTGTCTGTCTGTCTGTCTGTCTGTGTCTGTGTCTGTGTTTAATCTTGATTGTGAACTGATTGGATTGAGAAGTGCCAGGAAACTGGTAAACACGCCTCTAGATGCGTCTGCAGGTGTTTCCAGTAAGAACTAATTAAGTGGGGGAAGGCTCACCCTGATATAGGCAGCACCATCCCATAGGATGGAATAAAAGAGGGAAAGAGAAAGGATTCAACTCAGACATATTCTCTCATCTCTCTTTTCTCTCTCCCCTCTCCGCACTCCCCTTCTCCCCTTTCTGTCTTCCCTGCCCAGCCATCATAATGTGAGCTGCTCAGTTCTACCAAACCCTCTTCACCAGAATGGAATGAAATTTCTGAAACTATCAGCCAAAACAGGTCTCTCCCTCCTTAAGATTTCCTCATTTCATCACGGCGAAGGTAAAACTGACTAAGATAATGTGTTCAAATATTTAACAAAATGTGCACCGGGCATTATCTAAGACATTTAGAACTAAGCCAAATAATTAAGGCTTAGGAGAGATTACACTAACTAGTATTTGTACGAAAGGTTCCAATGTATACTGCATTATCTAACTAGGACATTTAGAACAAAGTCAAATAATTAAGGTACTAATGCTTTAGGAGAGCTTACATTAACTAGTGTTTGTACTAAAGGTTTCAACTATTTAAGTGGGTGGTGTGAGTTGTGATAAGCTTGGACAGTGAAAGACTTGCTTCTCGGAAGGGATGCTCAATCCCTCTGCACCCAGTATTGTGGACTTCATAGAACCCTCTAGAAATATGGAAGAGGCTCTCTTCAAGTGGCTTACTTGCTTAATGTTGGTTTCTCATCATTAACTGGAAAGACCTCTACTGAAATCATTTTAACTATCTTGTGTTTCCCATCTGACAACTGGACTGCAAAGTCATCAGCCAGGCCCTCTGAGCCATCGTGCACATATGACAGCTTCAGTCCTGCAAGAAAGAACACACAGAGAAAGTAAATCTCCCATATGATAGGCCTACCCGGATGTGTTCCATAAATGATCTTATTTAATTCTGAGGCATGGGTGACAGCAAGAATTCACCAAACAGTTCAGCAAGCAAAGTAAGAGAGATCTGTAAAGTAAAGGAATAGCTTCAGAGCTTTTAAAAGATTATTTAGCAATGTAGTATTTGAAAAGGGCTTTATATGAAATCAGTACAGAAAGGACATAGTAAGTATATTGCATCTATGGTGTTCAAGTGTTTAAATAAAACAGAAAAAAATACTTTATTGAGGAAAAGTAGAAAATTAGACTCTTGCTTTGAGTCAGCTACCAAACTAAATTCTAAGAGGATCAAAACTGAAATACAAAACCATATATTACTTATTCTAAAACCTACTTAGAATTTGTATAAAAATGAAAAAGAGCTGAGCCCTGGTGGCTAATGTCTGTAATCCTACAAGAGGCTGAGATCTGAGGATGGCAGTTCAAAGCCAGCCCACGCAGGAAAGTCTATAAGAATATTATCTCCAATAAACTACTGAGATAAACTAGAAGTGGCACTGTGGCTCAAGTAGTAGAACACTAGCCTTGAGCAAAAGAAGCTAAGGGACAGTGAGTTCAAGCCCCAGGACTAGGAAAGAAAGAGAGAGAAAGAGAAAAAAAGAAAGATAGAGGAGAGAGGGAAATAAAGAGTGAAAATGAGAAAGAAAGAAAAGGAGAGAGAATGAGGGGGCAAGGGAGGAAGGAAGGAGAGAGTGGAAGGAAGGAAGGAAGGAAGGAAGGGAGAGAGCCCAGAATAATCAAAACAGTCTCAAAAAAGAACACAGCCAAAAACAATACACTTTCTATTTTAACACATATTACAAAAAAACTAATAGTTACCAATAATTTGGTAGCTGTTAGCAATAGAAAACTAAAAGGAGTGCACCAAGAAAGATGGCAAATGTTTATTGACCTGTGAATTTTAATACAAAGAAGTGGAAAATGATCTACATATTTTTTAAATAAGAAATAATTATACAAAATTATAATAGATTTCATCCATGTAATGAAACAAGATCTCTGCCCCAAACTATATGTCAATGAACACTTAAATGGCTATAATAATGTATAAAAACAGACTACATAGTATTGAGCAGTTTGGTTAAGCTCTGTATGTTTGTGTGTGGAGATGATGATAAGAATACACTAAAAATTTTAACTTTTTATTGTAGTGACAAATGAACCAAAACTAAAGTCTGAATCAGGACCATTTTTTTCCTTTGTCTTAAACTTGAAGTGAAAACATATGTTGTAGCAATATAGTCTATAATTGAAGCATACAGCTAAGAATTTTGTAAGTCATATTCTCTAGAATTTTCTTTGCAATTCTTAAAAATGGAGAAATAGATGGATTTTCTTTTCAAACTAGGATGAAAAGCCAGCACGCTCACTGGAAGAATGCAGGAGGAAAGTCAAGCAAGTGCTGAACCAAAGTAAGCAAGCAAAGGAATGGCTAGAGGCCCTGGGTAAGCACCTCACACAGGATAAGACACATGAAAGAAAGTGTGTGTGTGTGTGTGTCTGTGTGTGTGTCTGTGTGTGTGTGAGTGAGAGAGAGAGAGAGAGAGAAATTCTAGAATTTCAGTAATGCTAGTACTGAACTTTTGCTCAAATTTTGGAAAGTATTTTTATATGTGGAGAATGGGATGAGACCATTTTTTTGAAAGAGTAATTAAAAAATCATTTAGGCTGCTATTCCAATGTGTCATTTCCCTCAAGAGCAAATTATCTGCTGAGAGACTAATGAGTCATTATTATATGCAGTTCTATATTTGTTTCAACTGTGGGAATTTTTGGCAGGCAAATCTCTTAAAATGTAATCGTATGATCTCAATAGAGTTAAAAAGGACTTCTTTTTATCACATTAAAAGTTGTGTGCTAAAATCCTGAACAGCACAGATAGCATTTTAATGGTTCTTTACAACAAAAAGAAAACAGTATTGTCTTTTAGTAAGGCACCAGTGGCCCTCACCTGTAATCTTAGCTGCTCAGGAGCCTGAGAGCTAGAGAAAAGTGGTTTGAGGACAGCCTAGGTAGAAAATTTCACTAGACCTCATCTCCAAATCACCAGCAAAAAGCAGGGCTGGAGTTATGGTTCAAGTAGTAGAGCACTGTAAGCAAATATGAGACCCTGAGTTCAAACTCCTGTACCATATACACAGAAGGCAAAAAGAAAGGAAGGAAGGAAGGAAGGAAGGAAGGAAGGAAGGAAGGAAGGAAGGAAGGAAGGAAGAAGGGAAGGAAGGAAGGAAGGGAGGGAGGGAGGGAGGGAGGGAGAGAGGGAAAGGGAAAAATACATTACTACCTTTTCAATAGGTTACTGTTTCTAGCTAGGGCTTCATGCTATACATTAATCTATAACCCAAAAGCAACCTTCAAGAGATAAACAAATAAGGTAGATGGGGCTGGTTTTTACTTATATTTCTATAAGTTACTACTATCTTTTCTAGGTTAATGTATTTTTGTATGTATTTATGATGTGCAACATGATGTTTTAATACATATTTATCCTATAGTATGATTCAACCAAGTTAATACATGACTTAACATACTTAAACTTTTGGGTATGGAGAACACTCTCAGCAACTTTCAAGTATATCTTACTATTAACCATGTCCCATGCTGTACAATGGATGCCTTAAGCTTCTTCCTCACCTCTCAATGAAATTTTATACCTTTTGGCCAACATCTTCCCATTCTTACAATGCCCCGCCTGTGGTAACCACTACATCACTCTATTTAGATGGGTTCAAATTTCTTAGAGTCCACATGGAAGCATGGGTGAAATTATTAAGTCAACAAGAAGATATAAATTTTCAACACATCATACCAGTCTTAAGAAGGTCCATGGAAAAGTTATGGATGAGCTCATGTTTCTGGTGAGGGTTGGCTAGCTGGTTATTTGGAGGAGTGTTTTCACTGGGTCCCCCATGGATGAGGAGACCATGATGTGGTTTCTGAGAGATGCTGAAGAGTAAGTGGTCCTTAGGAATGTCCAGGTCAGCAGCACTGATGATGGAAGAATCCAGCTCTACCATTCCACCCTGGCACACCTGAACAGGAGCAAGCCAGGGATTTAGCTAAGTGTGAAATGCAACTTGTCTACTAGTTTCTTTTGACAAACTGCCAAAAAAAAAACTCCTTTGAAAACATCTTGTCTCAAATTTTCAATAACATCCACATGTAATGAGTCCTAAACAGAAATTGCTGGCTTAGTATCTATTAAACTACCTCACATTTTTTTCTCTGAAGATCTTGAAGCAATTTTTATTTTCATGTCTGACCAAAGACTTAGGATTTAAAACATGTATAATGTTAATAATTCCAAGTTGGGGGTTGGGCAGCAACCAAAAAGATGCTTACTTGCTGGAAGTCAGAATAATTCAGTTGTGAAGCTATATCTAGAATCTTCGCAATTAGATTCCAATCTGTTTTTTTAACCTCTCAGATCTCATCATTTCCACAATTCTTATGTCTCTAATTGCTTTAGAAATAGCACAAATGCCTGCTACACACATACTGGTTATATTTGGTGCTTTGTATTTTCATTATTATGGTAAAAAAAACTTCTGTATTTCATTGTAGTCAACAATAATTGAGAAGGATATTTTTGGAAGCAAATAGTACATGTTTTAATTCTGGGTCCCTCACCCACCTCTCCTAATTCTCATACCTCTTAATTCTTTAGAACCATCCTTCCCTACATCTCAGCTCAGATTTCATAATTTTTAAAGCTCAAAGACAGTATAATTTTATTGTTCCATGAACAAGCTAGTCATTTAGAACTTGGCAATATGATACTTAGCTGTCTTGGCCTTTTTTCTTATAATGAAGATAGGGAGAATAAAAAAATATTTTTGCTTCCTAGTTTGAAATATAGCAAGATCCAAGTAACAAAAGCTTACAGATACTATACACATTCTTTGAAATATACAGTGTCACATGAATATTTATACGTATGGGTGAGAACTGTAAAAATATTTCTTTTCAACCCTCTATTGATTGAAAATTACTTACCATCTTGATACTAAACTTACAGCTAAAATGCGAAGGGCATTCTTTTATCTGGACTTACTTATTAAGGACCAAAGTAATATCATAGATTAATTTATGCTACACTTATTTAATTATCTTTGATGACAAACTCCCCTTTTTCTCCAGGAACTTTAATAAAGCAGCTTTAAAAATGTTGTAATTAACCTTCTGCATAGAGCTCAACTATGAAAATCTTTGCTCTCAACTTATTGTATGATAAGTTCATGCAAAATATTACTAGAAAATGTCACTGAAACAAAGTGAGCTTCTTTTTCTGAGACTGACTTGTTTATACTATGACAATAAAAAAAAAGTTTAGATCAAGCCTGTCACCGGTGGCTCATACCTATAATCCTAGTTACTCAGGAGGCTGAGATGTGAGGATCACAGTTCAAAACCAACTCAGGCAGGAAAGTCTGTGAGACTCTTGTCTCTAGTTAACCACCAAAAAGGTGGGAGTGGAGCTGTGGTTCAACTGGTGGAATAGCTTTGGACACAAATGTTTAGGGACAGTGCCTAGGCCCTGTGTTCAAGCCCTACACATGCACACACACACGTAGATCAATATACATAAAAAATACCTTTTACATCTGGATACATTTAGAAGGGATTATCATAAATTAAATCGTTTGCAGCACAACTTGATGGAAGCATATCTATACAATAAATGCACTTTCTCACAAGAAAGTCAAATACAGTTATCTAAAAACCTATCCCATAAATCTTAGCATCATCTCTGTGAATGATGAAAGGGGCTCTGTGCTTGTCACTCCATAGCAGCTTCTCTAGGAAGACACAGGTAAAAAGCATGATTATTTCCAGACAAGAACAAGAGACAACTTCCCAGTGGCCTAATTATTTCAGAAGTCCAAGCTCTAGACAGATACAAGACAATAGAAGTAGGTATGGTAGGAATGATTTGTAAAAAAAAAAAAAATTGTCTCACATAATTATTGAAGTGCTCTCCAGAGAAACCATGAGCCAACCAGGAAGAAAGGCTGGCTCTTAAATTTCATGTTGAGATGACTCTCATGTGCCATTAAGACTCAGTAGAAAATTAAAATCAAATAAAGACTTTCACATTCAGAATTTGATTATTTTTAGTAAAAAATAAGAAAAAATAATTACTTTGATCAATATCAGAAGAAAAAAGGCAAACATTACAGTGACAATAATACTGACTACACTTGATTTTTAAGGCTATGCTCTGTGCCTAATCATCTGATTCATCATGGCTATCCCTTAATGAAGATTCTTTACAGATTTTGTAGTTTAAGAAATAGAAGCACAGAGAAAAATAACAAGCATCCTATACTTATTAAATGCAACACCTGAGTCCCTTTAATTCCATAGCCTCTACTTACTCCATTTCTTTAGAATTTGCTAATACATATGTCTGGGTTAAATAGCCTTCTGTACATATATTTTCACATATATATATACACATACATATGTATTTGCTTAAAATTAAAAATTAAAATATTTTAATATAATTTTGTTTTAGAAAGTGATAAATGGATTAAGAAAATATTATATAATTCAACATCTCTGGACATAAAAGAAATGGAAATCAAAACAACATTGAGATTCTACCTCACCTCAGTTAGAATGGCCATTATCAAGAAAACTAATAATTACAGATGCTGGCAGGAATGTGGCCAAAAGGGAACACTACCACATTGTTGGTGGGAATATAAGCTGGTTCAACCACTCTGAAAAGCAGTGTGGAGGTTCCTCAAAAGACTACACTAGCTGGGTGCTAGTAGCTCATGCCTATAATCCTAGCTATTCAGGAGGCTGAGATCTGAGGATCAGGGTTCAAAGCCAGCCTGGGCAGGAAAGTCCGTGAGACTCTTATCTCCAATAAACCACTAGAAAACTGGAAGTGGCACTGTGGCTCAAACGGTAGAGTATTCGCCTTGAGCTGAAGAGCACAGCAACAGTGCCCCAACCCAGACCGAGCTCCCCTATGATCCAGCGGTCCTAATCCTGGGCATTTACTTAAATGACCACAAACCAGGCCACACTAAAGCCACCAGCACAACCATGTTCATTGCAGAATTGTTTACCATAGCCAAGATATGGAATAAACCCAGATACTCCTGAGTGAATGAATGGATCAAGAAAATGTGGTGTATATATACAAATTCCATACTTCCATCAAAAGAATGATATTGTATCATTCATAAGGAAGTGGAAAGATGGGAAAAAAATATATTAAGCAAAGTAAGCCAGACCTAGAGAAACATAGGCTGCATGGCTTCCCTCATTTGTGGTAGCTAGAATGTGCCTGTAAATCTACAAATAAACATACTGGGTGGTAATAAGGGGTTACAAATGAACTAACTAAAGTAAAATAAACTCCTTGGAGAGCACAATAGTATGATTTTTTAAAAAGACTAAGTCAAAGCCCAACAAAATAAGTATGAGGAAATGTATACTTGCAAGAGGGGAGGGGAGGGCCAAAGGGAGAGAGGTAGAAGAATGAAGGGGAGAAGTGGGGAGAATACAAGCAAGAACTCATTGTAGATACCACAGAATTGAGAAATAAAAGGGAAGAGGTGGGCCAAAGGGGTGCACGTGAAGATGTTGAAGGATGACACAGAACAGATCAAGATGCATTGTATACATAATCTGCTTTGTTAAACTGCAAAAATTCGATACATAATGTACAATTAAGTAAGGGAAGAGGTGGGTTGAGAAGGGATGGTTAAGAATGTTGAAAGGGAGCTGGATGCTGGTGGTTCACACCTGTAGTCCTAGCTACTTAGGAGGCTGAGATCTGAGGATCTCGGTTCAAAGCCAGCCCAGGCAGGAAAGTCTGTGAAACTCTTATCTCCAATAAAAACCACTAGAAAACCGGAAGTGGCATTGTAGCTCAAGCAGTAGAGTGCTGGCCTTGAGCTGAAGAGCTGAGGGACGCACTCAGGCCCAGAGTTCAAGCCCCACAACAAAAAAGAATGTTGAAAGGGGTAACATTGATCAAGATGCACTGTATTCATAAACTACTTTGGTGAAAGAAAACCTACAAGGATGAAAACAGAAGTGCAGAATAGTAGGTATAATTCCTAGTTTGTAAGTGAAACATATAGAAAAGTCATAGTATGCATACACATTATTAGAGGTGTATAAACTACTTAGGCTACTTACTTAACCTCTTTATTTGCCTCATTTTCTCAGTTCTGAAAATGACAATAATCATGTCATCACTCTAAAAGCCCATTGTGATGATTAAGCATGAGTGCATGTGAAAGGCTTGGAACCTACAACTAGTAAGTACTTCATCCTCTTCTCGTGCAATCAATTCATTTCACCCTTGCATTTGTTGTGTATTAGCACTTATTATTATCATTACTGTGAGAGTAATGGTGTTCAAGTGCCTGAGTTACAGAATAAAAGATACTATGCTCTCCCTGTCTTACTCTTCATTCATCAAAGTAATGTGTTACAGGCCTGGGACTGAGGTAAAAGTGTAGGGGAAAACAAAAATAAATACATAAAATTTCAAAATCAGACAATAATTGAAATAATTGAAACAAAGAGAACATTCTGAGGTGTTTCTTACGGTAAGGTTCTGCACTACAAAGTCAGGGGCCTCATCATTGGTGGGGTTGATTCGAATGTAAAATGATGTCTCAGAGGAGCGTTGTGACCCGTCTGTAACAGAGACCACGAACTGATCGGCAGTTGGTTCTATCCTCAGATGCTTGGATTGCACATAGTTAATGTGCAAAGACTTCATGTCTCTCCACTGAAATGAAGCTAGAGCATACCAAAACAGAACACAAACGTAAGAAAAACATGGCTTATAAGTTACTGTTCCTCATTCTTTTAAAAAAAGAAATTATCATTAAGTAGTTGACCTAAGGAGTTGCTATTCATCAATGTAGTCTATGAATACAGTGCACCCTGATCACCCTATTCAACATTCTCACCCACCCTTTCTCAACCCACCTCTTCCCTTACTTAATTGTAGGTTATGTATTGATTTTGGGGGGGCAATTTAAAAAAGCAAATTATGTGTACAATGCATCTTCATCTGTGCCATCGCTTCAACATCTTCACCCACCCCTTTGGCCCACCTCTTCCCTTATATTTCTCAATTCTGTGGTATCTACAATGAGTTCTTGCTTGTATTCTTCCCACTTCTCCCCTTTATTCTTCTACTTATCTCTCCTTGACTCTCCCCTCCCCTCTTGCAAGTACTCGTTTCCTCATACTTATTTTGGGGGGCTTTGATTGAGTCTTTTTAAAGAATTACACTGTTTGTGCTGTTTTATTTGTTATTGTTGGTTTTGGATTTTTTGGGGTGTGTGTGCTGTCTTACCTGCTTCCTATGAGACACATAACTGAACTGCAATTTACTTGCTCTGGGTTTCCCATTATTATTGAGATCATAGGCGTGAGCTATGTCTAGCTTTCCTCTATGGAGAAAGAGTTTCACAGACTTTTCTGCCTGGGGTGGCCAGGCACATGATCTCTCCCATCTGAGCCTCCTACACAGCTTGGGATGGAAGGCACATACCACTATACCTAACTATAACAAGAAAGGGTCTCCCAAACTTTTCCTCCTAGACTATCCTGGAACTGCAATCCCCCTATTCTCAGCCTGTCAAGTAGCTAGCATTATCCACTTATTTTGATATCATCTTGCATGTATGTCATGATAAAAAAATGAAAAATAAGATTCTAAGAATCAGTATAATAATAATAACAGTATACAAAATCTCTTAACATACATGGTGATTTGAATGTTTTTGAAGTCCTTAGTTACTAAACATTATCTGACCAATCATATCCATAAACTTAGGCAAGTCATTGTTGGTCATCACTTACATATACTGATGCCCATGTTGCTTTTCTCAAAACCAGCAGAAGGGAGTGTGTTTTCAAGGTAGCCAAATTGAGGAGGAGAAACCAAAACAAATTCCAAGTCATCTGCAGCAGTGTCAGGGTCAGTGACAGACAAGTGGTTAATGGTAATGGCTGCAGAGAAGCCTTCATCTACAACGAACATGGTACCTGCATACAAATAACCACACAGTTATGACTTAGCATGGAATGGCCTCATCTGAATAGTGAGGACAAAAGGGAGTAATTGAAATTCCAATTCAGAGAAGCTTCCCATATGCAAATATGCTTCCATGGGACATGTTCATTTCCTTTGGCATAATTCTCTTTGCAGAAAAAACATTCAGGGGTAATGGGTGGATTTAATATGACTTATGGAATTATGTATTTTTTTCTTGCACAAGCAAGCCAGATGATAATGAAGCACTGAAAAATACTAAATGTTTTACTACAGCCCTTTAGTCATTCTCAAGGAACTCTGATTTCCCTTGTGTCTCTATAGAAGTGACAAATGAAAATAAGAATTGCCAAACTGTTTTAATGATAAGCCACTAAATGTAGTTTATGTACTCTTCAAGATCAGTTGTTACCTCTGTTTGTCAGAGCGTTAATTGCCTGAGAGCGATTATGAATTGCTCATAACGAACATTTGTTTCATGCCTTGGTGCTTAATTATTCTGCTGGGATAATGCTTCCTTTCCAGAACATTGCTTGGGAGATAGTTTGCAAATTACAATAACATTCATACATATGCTTCTATTTTTTTTCTGAGAGACAGAACATATACATAATGCCTATGAAGAGATGACTTTCTAAAAAGCAAATAAGGTTAAATGTATATAAAAGGTCTCTCTGGTGTACTTACATACTCATTCCTCTAATAGAAATTATTATGGATAAAATAAATTACTCTCTCCAGCAGGCAAATGATACTTTCCCATGCTAAATAAAAGCAAACTATTTGAGGATTCCAGTGTCGTCCTTTTCCCAACAACCACACACAGACCACAGATACTTGTATTTTCTCCTTATACAGAAATTCCTAACATTTTAAACACATTTTATCTTATGATTTTCCATAGATTTGAGGCACTTCTTTCTTTCTTTTTTTTTTCTTTCTTTCTTTGTCAGTTGTTGTGGGTCTTGAATCTGGGCCTGGGTACTGTCCCTCAGCTCTTCAGCTCAAGGCAAGCTCTCTACCACTTGAGCCACAGCACCACTTCTAGTTTTCTGGTGGTTAATTGAAGATAAGAGTCTCATGGACTTTCCTGCCCAGGCTGGCTTTGAACGGCAATCCTCAGATCTCAGCCTCCTGAGTAGCTAGGATTACAGACATGAGCCACCAGCTCTATAGATTTCTCTTGAGGCAATTATTAGAGGACAATTCTCTAGAATGGTTTTCTAACTCAGGGTATTATTTCATTGAACTACAGAGTCATGACAGTAAGAAAGGCAATAGTATTTTAACATAGAAAAACTTTGTCACCAATTTCAATGGAAGGTGGTTGATTGTCTACTGGATGCACTGTGATATTGAGATCATACACTGGAAAGGCTTCATGAAGAGCTGATGGATCAGGCCTGTGGTAGCAACAGCCATTGATAACAGGGCTGGCTTCTCCATCCAAAACCACCAATGTAATGGTGTCAAAACAAGGTACCAGGCCAATCTCACCACCTGAAAAACACAATGATAGTAAAATTCTGACCATTAAAAAAATGTAGAATACCAAGATGAAACCTCCTCACAGCTCTTCTACAAGCACTAATGACAAGGAAAGGAACTTACGGGATATGTAGATAGATAGAGAGATAGATAGATAGATAGATAGATACATACATACATACATATATGTATATACACACGTACACATACATATACATTATACATATATATCAGCATTATCACTATGAAATTAAATATAGTCATGAAAATAATGTAAAAATGTTTGTCCATCTGTTACCTCTGGTGAAATCCCTTCCAGCCATCTAACACCATATGGAAGGGCAAAGAAGGGCTAACAAAGGTCTGACAGTTCACAAATGAATAAGAAAGAGGATGGATTCATTTGTCCCTCTTAATCCTTTGGTGTTACAAACAACCCCGGGGAGAGGAGGCAGGTACCCATGTCCACTTGGTAATTGTCTTTCCGTTTCCACTAATACTGAGAATAAACATCAGCCACATAGCAGTTATTAGAAATAGAGGGCATAGAATAGGTGGGGGGGAGGTAATCTACATTTTGGTTATTTCTTTCATAATTTTCCTTTTTTGTATATTAACCAAGATTTTTTAAAGGTAGCAACAGTGTGTGTGGGAAAATGGCATTTACTTTGGATTCTTCTTACTTTTTAGATCTTACTCTATAAGATTTTAAGTGGTCCCAACTTGAACAATGAGATGGAAAGAAGAAAATGACAGGACTCTGTCACTTAAAGGAAGAACAAGAGTCTCCTAGTTACTATCTAACAGCACAGTGAAGGAGTCTGTACTCTCCAGAGGACAGAAAAGCCCTGCACTGTGTTTGGTCATGTTCATATGTCACCTTAAAGAAATGAAGAAGGAAACAATTAATGCTGGAGTTTCCATGAGATGATAGCACAAAGAACTGTCATCTCTTTTCAAAAACCACATTGACCAAATCTAAGCAAAATATTGTGTTTAGCATAATTCTCCTGTTTCAAAAAATTGAGTCACACAGTGAGACCAAAGGAGGACATTCTTAGGAGAGGATCACAAGGGCTCAGTAGCTGTGAACATATGACCATATAAAATGAAGCTGATCAAAATGAACTCCAAGAAATGGAAACAAGAGGTTTCTTTACTGTACTGCTTGTGGTTCTTTTCTTTCTTTCCTTTTTCTTTAGTTTATTTTCTTTGGTCACTGTATTTGATTTCTGTACCATTTATCTTCTATGTAAGTTTATCTGATTTGGGGAGGGGATGGGGAAGCATGGAAATGGCAGGACAAAGGGTGAACCAATTCCACAGTGTTACTCAATAGACACTGTGTTGGAAATGAACTATACAACTTGGGGAGGAGGGGAGATGGGAGAGAATGAGGGAGGTGACACTGTTCAAAAGGAAATGTACTCATTATATTACCTTTACAATAAAAATTTTAAAATAAAAAATTAAAGAATAAAATTAAAAAGAAAACAACAACAACAAAAAACCACCTTGAGATTATATCACTGAGCAACGAAATAAATGAAAAACAGGAAATGTAAGTCTTCAACTTGTGGAAGTGTCCAAACTAAGAGGTCTCTCACTTGTACATATGGATATAAAAATGGCTTTAGATACTTCATCATCCACATTCACCCAATAAACACTTAATACCTACTATGGGATGATTAGTATCCTGGAGGTTCCAGCAAAGAAAAAAACATGTAGGGCATCAACAGAGCAGCAGGCCATATTGCTCTTCCTCCACTCTCTGAAATTCCGTACAGTTCTCAGATCAGTCACTCTTCTAGCCAGGGTACATCAACTATGCAATGAGATATAGGCAACAGCACTAGTCACAATGCTGCACATACCTGTGTGTCTGTATGTCACTGCCCCTGAGATAACATCGGCCTGAGAGAACCTGTCCACGCTCACTCCAGCCTTCCTCACCATCCCATGCCGAGGTTCTCCAACAATCATAAACACCAGTGTCAAGTCATCACTGTCCATGTCAGTAGCACCAAGATATTCAGGGGTGATGACCACCTCTCCACCCTCAAGGCAAGGCATAACGGCTATGAGGTCAGCCTTTAGGACTGGTGGCTCATCATTTACAGGGAATACCTACACAGGAAACAAAATGCACAATTTCAAAAAAAAAAAAAAAGAAATGAAGAATTGCCCAAGTGGTAACCCATTGCCAATAGTCCCAATGTCAGGCATTTTTGGGGTCTTTCAGACACATTAAACAATAGCCATGGAATTTGGCCAGGCAGCCCATGTCTTTCCACTTTCCCCATAGGTATCATCTAGCAAGGAATGCCCCACATGAGCGGCATTTTAGGCAGGAATAAGAGTATTTGGTTATGGTTTGGGGCTCAAAGCTCTCATTTGTTTCCAGGCAGACAGATATAATGTAAAGCACTCCTCATCAAAACCAAAATCCTCCTTCATTAAGTTCACACATTTTCCTGATGAATCCTGTCCTCACACATCTCATGCAGTACATCCACAGCTTATGAATTACTTTTCTTTCTAATTATTATTTAGTGATTTAAAGCTTATGATTTCAAAGCTTTACTTTACCCTAACCTTCCTGCTACTCGGCAAGTTTCTTTGGAGCCACCATGAGCAACAGCTGCATTTCAAACAGCTGGAGTTACAAGTGAAACCACAACCATTCAAGGAGAAAACTTTATACCCACCTCAACATGTAGAACAAATTCTGCTGAATTTTTGCCATCTGTGACCTCCAAACATATGTCATCCTGAAGAACCTCAGATCCATCATGTTGATACCTGTGGGGATAAGATTTGTAGTAATCTTCCTATTATCGTGAGAATAATTTGAGATTCCTAACATGAGTTCCTCAATGGCTCTGGATTTGTTCTCTGAATGAATGAGTGAATGAATGGATGAATGAGTGAATGATAAGAAATAAGAAAACAAAAGCATATTCAAGTATACTGAAATGTAAAATTGTTCTACCCTGGGAAAATGTATTGATAAGTATTAGTAATTTTTCCTCAAATATAAATTTCTATTGCTTTGTGATAAGAAGAACCATTTGGTATAGTCCTTCTAACTTCTAGAATGTGTCTGTTGGGGAGAGAGAGAAAACCCAAGACTGAACAGTACACAAGGGAAAGTAGGGGTCTATGTGAATTTGATGATATCCTCCTTTCCTACTTTTAAAGTTAATCCTTTTTGCCTGTGCTCTGGGTTTATTAAGCTCTTCTCTAAAACCTTTATCTATGGATTGTGCAGTGCCTCCTTCCAACAATTTTCCCTCTTCCACTTATAAGATTTCTTGTTCTGAACTTATAAAGAACCTCAAATCTCTCCCAGACTTAAAAATACCTCTCCTGCCAGGAGCCAGTGCCTCAAACCTGAAAGCTTATCTACTCAGGAAGCTGAGACCTGAAGGATCACAGTTGAAAGCCAGCCCAGGCAGAAAAGCCCATAAGAATGTTATCTCCAATCAACCCTTTTAAAAAAGGCAGAAGTGGAGTTGTGTCTCAAGTGGTAGAGTGCTAGCCTTGAACAAAAGAAGCTCAGGGATAGCACTCAGGCCCTGAATTCAAGCCCCAGGACAGGTACAAAAGAAAAAATGCTACAATATATTGAACCTATAAAATATTCATCTATCAAAAAAATAGAGCTAAATTTTGCTCGAAATAGTGTCACCAATAGATATCATAGAAACTCAGATAGAGGATTCTATTTCAATGCCAGGGAAGACCCACATCCCATCTCTCCTTTGTCCCTACTACCTCCACCACTACATCCTGTACTTTATTTTTGCCACGCTTCTACAAAATAGATTTGTGATGCTATTTACTCTGTTAGTGCCCCTAAAAGAATCAACTGGACTTCACAATACACATTCAGGGCATGCGGTGTAGTTAAACAGATCTTTAAGAGCCTGACTCCATATTCTAGCAAATTCCTAATATCTTTGTTAAGTTGAAGCAACTATAAGAATAAAACTATCCACCTTACCAGACTTGATTACTATGAAGATTAAAATTTTTTCAAGCTAATTACAAATCATTAGACACGTGCTTGAACACATAGTTCTAGAAAATGCTGATAGTATTTTACTTCTATCCATTACTTACTCATAGTAAGAATGCTTAAACAAAATTCCTTTTTAACATGTGGCTGAGAGCTAAGATCTCAGAAACAAAATCACAAAAGGGCAAAAGGGAAATTTTAGTCAAAATAGGTGAATGTTTTTCACTGCTCACCTACTGGAAAGAGGTCAAGAAATAGACAAGTATAAACCAATAATGTAACAAAACTATCAGAATTAAAGTTATCTTCTTATGCCCAATCCTAGTTCCTAGAGAACTTCCTAGTCAAGTTTAAAACCAAGCCAAACCAAGCTTGATGCCTAATATTTCCTACTACACTTTATCAAGTGGGCCAGAGTTTCCGTTAATATCTCAAATTTTCAAGGGAGAAATTACTCTATCTGATCATTGCTTTTTTTCCCCTCAAGTAGTTTGACTTGTTTTCTAGAAATGTTTCACTATACTTTGCAAAAGAAGTTTCTTTCAGAACTGAATTCAGCAAATGAAATGAAAGACATCAAAGTTAGGAGAAATACTACAGGACCAAGAGGCAGGATATCTCCATCCCGGGCTCTCACAACTTGAATAGTGCTCCATGGCGGACCAGCCATTCTGACCCTACATGCTCACCTCCAAACCCCTACCCCATAGAATGGAATTAATACTTACCCTTAAGACATTGATCAGCATGGTTCTATCCCAGAGTTTTCAGGGTTATAAAGTTGTTTTTCTTTAGAGCCAAGTTCAATTATGTAGATTAGTTTCATACATAAATTTTAGTCCCTAATCATCTACTTTGTGGTATGTGCAGTTACAGTAATTTTAATATTTGTAGTAATTAATTTTTATTATTCACATACCTGTAAAGTCATCCTCACTAAACAAACCAGAGGGGCTGGGAAGGTGGCTCAGTGGTAGAGCACTTGCCTTGCATGCCTGAGGCCCTGGGTTCAATTCCTCAGCACCATATAAGCAAAAAGAAAAAAGTCGGAGGTGGCACTGTGGCTCAAGTGGTAGAGCGCTAGCCTTGAGGCTAGCCTTGAGCTGAAGAGCTGAGGGACAGTGCCCAGGCCCAGAGTTCAGGCCCCATAATCGGACCCAAAAAAAAAAAAAAAACCAGAGATAAAGAAAATGTCTGAAGGAAAACAAAAAAATATTTGTCATTTCTAGTTTTCAGTCAACTTTTGAAAGTATGAAGCAACATGCCAGAATCCCTGAAAGAATTGAACAAAACTTCTTTTCTCTCATTCTGCCTCAAAGTTGACCTAGATGAGGAGCTAGGGCAAATAAAGGGGGGGAAAATCCAGGAAATGTTCTAACCTAACTTTTAAGGTATGAAGGTCGCTCCAAGAAAATGTATCCCCTGGATTTAGGGGAAATCCATTCAGCTCCACCCTTCCACTCAGCGGGGTCCCTGTCAGAGAGAGGTAGATATTGTCCAGTAGGGTGTCCACATCAGAAACATGGATGTGCTCTGTGTCCACGATGCATTGACGTCCCTCAGCCACTCTCAGAGAGTTGGTGAAGACCTAGAAAGAAGGAAGGAAATATGCAAAGCCTTGCTCCATGAGGAATCTTGAACCCAGAGCTAATTAGATCATTGTAAAACTTCTAGTACCATCTTCATAGGCCAATTACTTTTTCATGACTATATTAAGGCCTGGGGGGCAGTTGCTCCCATCTATAATCCTAGCTACTCAAGAAGGTTAAGATCTGAGGATCATTGTTTTAAGCCAGTCAGGGCAGAGAAACCCATAAGACTCTTGCCTCCAATTAGCTAGCAAAAAGCTGATAGTAGAGTGTGGCTTATATGGTAGAGTACCAGCTATGGGAGCAGAGTAGGAAAGTTAACCCAGACCATGAGGCCCAGAATTCAAGCCCCAATACTTACACACACACACACACACACACACACACACACACACACACACACAAGTTTAGAGTTGTCCAGTTGACTAATAAGGATTTATTTTTATTAAATTTTTTAGGCATTGATGGAAAGAAAGACAAGAAGCTCAGCTATTTTAGGGTCAGTATCTCTTACACACAGAAAAGTTTGATCTGACTAAAATCTAATCAAGTTAACTCTACCGACATCCTAAACCATTTTTATCACATTTTTACATGGCCTGGTCTCTGAGAAGAAAGGCATCACAGAAGCAAATGGAGCCAGTTTAGATGCCTTGGAGTGTTTTAGATTAGAGCTAGTTTTAGATTCCTTTGATGTGCTTCATACCTAACTTTGCAAGCTTGTCAGCCTTCAAGGCCAACCCCATGATACAAATGAGTATGACATGTTCATGAAGACTTTGGTGGGTAGAGATCATACCCTGTCCCACAGCTGCATGAGGTAGGTGAGCTCAGTAGTGCTAGAACTTCTATATTTTTCAAGAGAAATCTCAAGTCAAACATGACAGAAAACTTCTTGGATTTTTAAATGTTGATCATTTCTTTTTATAAAATATTCTTTATACCTATCAGACTACTTCTGTATGGTGGACCATCAAATAAATCATTTGTTCTACAACCTCAAGCAAGAATAGATAGAGTGAGAAATGACCAGGAAGAAGACCACCAGAGATGGTTGTGAGATGAGGCTCTGCTACATAGTGACTAAGAAATGTTCTTTTATCTTTCTACTTTTAAGGATAAAAGTGCTCCCAATAATAGCTATACTAACAAAGTGTAGCACTCTAAAGGGGGCGGAGGGGGGGGAGAGAAGAAACTCTTAATGCAAACCTCAGCCTCACAGAAAAGAGGCACAAAGTACCATTGCTTTTGTATCTCAGTTTTATTTATTTATTTTTTTTGTCAGTCGTGGGGCTTGAACTCTGGGCCTGGGCGCTGTCCCTTAGCTCTTCAGTTCAAGGCAAGTGCTCTACCACTTGAGCTACAGCACCACTTCCAGTTTTCTGGTGGTTTATTGGAGATAGGAGTCTCACGGTCTTTCCTGCCCGGGCTGGCTTTGAACCGTGATCCTCAGATCTCAACCTCCTGAGTAGCTAGGATTACAGGCGTGAGCCACCAGCGCCCGGCTGTATCTCAGTTTTAAAGAAAGATTCAAGGTCTGTGAGACTTACATAAACATTGGGCAGTGAGATAGGGCAGGACAAAAGAGTCCATCATAATTCATTTGGGAAAATTAAAGAGCTTCCTTGGATTACATAGCAGCACGGTTGGCCTGCGGTGAAAGCAAATAAGTTTTCCTGGTTGCTAAGAGACCCATAATTTAATCCCCTTCCCCCCAAGTGAAACTCAGCCCTAAAGAAAAGGAGATGAAGAGATTTTTGATAAAGCTTTAAAAAACAAGTGCCAAATTTAACAACTGGAAAATCTCATTTTTTAACGCAAAGTTCATTTGAAGGCCCTTCCCTACCTCCCACCTCTTACTTTTCTCCTACACTTCAATTGGAAAACAAAATGTTAGTCTTTTCTTTCATTCCTTCTCTCCTTTTCATCCTCCATATCAAACATTGTACATACCTCAGGAACTTGATTGTCCACTGGAAGAATGGTAATGTTAAAGCATATCCCATGCAAAGTGCCACCATGTTGGTTACTGATAGAAACTGTAAACTGGACGTGTTGGAGATGGGGCCCAATATCTTGCATAGGGGGCATGTAGGCTACTTTCATATGGTTCACAGCATGCTGCAAAGTAAATTCAGATGCATCTATGGGTGTTAATGTGAAAAAATTTGAAACTTTCCAAGACCTAGGTTCAAATCAACCATAGTGTTAATTGACATTCAACATCATAAATGAAAAAGTCAACATCAATTGAAAAATTCCCCAGAGTCTCCAAGTTACTAATCACATTTTTTGGAAAATGTTATTTTTATTTTTTAGTACTTTCCAAGTGTAATTATAGATTATTTGTGCAAATAGTGCAGAGAGGAACAAGTATACAATTATTTGACAGTACCAAGTGCTTGATCCATGGGGTGGGGGTGGGGAGGGCAGGGTGGAGAGGATGATGAGCGAGCCTATTTCTCTGGCCAGCCTCACAGGGTTGGGTGGAGATGGAACTGATAAACTGATAAAGGGTCCCAGGGTTCCTACCCCCCAGAGCAGGGGTCCCCTAAGCCATGATACCCCTCATCAGATAGACCACACACATTCTGAGGCAGATGCAGTATGGTCCCTGAAAAGTCCCATTCAAGATGGAGGTCTCTCCCACAGTTCCCTGAGAACCCAGACAGCTGGGTGTGTAATCACATTTTTTATATATGGAGGAAAAAATGACCAAGAAATTACGTAAATATAGTCAAACACTGAAGCCAGTCAACTTTTTTGTATTTCAACCCTACTCCACACATAATAGCTACATATTGATCATGCTACTCTCTTTAATCTGTAAAAATGAGCAAAGTAATAGCACTTGTCATGTGGGATTAATATACTCATTTACAACCTCTAACAACAGGGAGATTAGGCATAATTAATCCCAAACCACAGAAGTTTCTGCTGTCTGATCATTATGATTCCCCTCAAAAGACACTGACATCTTAATCCATTGTACCTCAGAATGTGAACTTATTTGGGTATAAGGCCATTACAGGTGAAATTAGTTACAGGAAGGTCATACTAGGCTAGGGAAGACCTTTAATCCAGTATAACTAGTGTCTGTATGGTAGGAGGAGAGACTCAGAGGAAGAAGGCTGTCATGTGACAACAGACAAAGATGGGAGTAATGTATTGGCCAGCCAAGAATTGCCTAGGATTGCTGGCAAACCACCATAAGCTAAAGACAATCCAGAAAGATTATTCCACAGGGTTTGGGGGGAGAAAACACAACCCTGACAATACCATGGTTTCAGACCTCTAACTTCCAAAACAATGAGAACATAATCTGTTGTTTTAAAACCACATAATTGTGGAACTTCATTATGGTAACCATTGAAACTAATGGGGAAAATATATATATAGTAAAATACCGAGGGAGCTGAATTGGGTGAAATAAAAGCATAGACATGGGGACCCTGAATGAGTCCTGCTGCTGGCAAGACAATGCAAAAACCTGAATTGAATTATAACAAGATTTGGATCATATCCAACTTTATAAAGCACTTTCAACAGACTCATATGGTCAATGCAAATGTGTGGCAGAAAGAATAAAGATATCAGGTTTTTATGGCAGAGGTCAATGGTCAGCATTCTCATGTGCAAAACTAAGCAATGCCATATTGTCTCAGAAGACACTCACGTCAAGTTTGATAGCATTGTATAAGTCAGCATACCTGAGTAAATGACCTTAATCCCAGGGCTACTGGGTTTTTGGTTAGCTTCGGTATGCTGTCCACCATGAATAACTTCCCAGCATCCGAGTGTCTAAAGAGAAATACACATCAGATAATTTTCCAGCTAAGAGAAATTAATCAAAGCTAGTCATGGTAGCACATGCCTATAATCCCAGCACTGGAGTGTCAAGACAGGTGAAGAGAGAAGTCCAAACCAGTCTGGGTGACATACAAGTGTGAGCAAGTGTGAGCCCAGCTTGAAACACATACTGAGACTCTGTCTTGAAAAAATAAAATGAAATAAAAAAAACAAATTGAAGAGTCCATGACCATTTTTTTTCAAAAATGGTCATTCGTTATATTATCTTTATACTGTGGGCTTATGGCCTTATGTCTTATGATCATTACTCATCAGGACTACAAAAAGTATGCCCAAAAATGTTTTCTGTCATAGGGAAAAGAAATCATTATTCTCATTCTAAAAGATATTTCCTCATTAGCATGTGCACATCACTGGCCTATGCAACATTCATGCTAATTATCTCATCTGAGATCATAGATATGACCATTTCTTGGCCTGTAATATCTAAAACTAACGTTTAAAAACCCTCATTAAACTTAGTTAACAAGAGCAATAAGCTTTCCCTTAGAAATGGGAAGTAAATAACTAAGGCTAGCTATGCTGAAAACATTACAAGTCACAGGTCACTTAGTAATTAATATAGATTTTGAAGGGAAGCACAAGACAAGTTTGAGATAAAGTAATTGCTGACATTTACAAGAAAAAAAATAAAAAAGAATTGCAGAATTGGGTATAAATTCATGTCTGATCAATGAAGCCATTGAATCATAGCACTTATATAGGATACGTTCAACTCTGGTCAATAAACCAAAGATTGACAGATCATCTGATGACTTTCCAAAGATACCTGGGGCCGAAAGAGAAAAATGGAGGTGTTGTTACTGTGTAGAGCAGCTCTCTGTCACATGATTCCATATCTAGGAAATGTAGATGCTTCTTGGTTATGTAGGCCACCTCTGTTTCCTTAACAACCAAATGTCGAGAGACTCCAGGAGCCTCTTTTGGAAGCTGGTCATCTACTGGAATGATATGGATTGTCACGACCTGGAATAAAATATCTGTATTATTCACTGGAGTACCAAGACTACATTAGAGAGAATATCCCATGCCCACCTCGTGACTGTAGCATGACTGACATTTATAGTGCATTTCGGTCAAATGATTCAGGAGCGATAGTGGGTATGAGCTAAAAATAGAACATTCGGTACTCATTGTATACTACATTTTAAAGAATATTAGTAACACTATTATAACTAATCCAGTTAGCAGTACACATAAAATACAATATGCTCCTGCTTTTATTTTATCTCTCTTCAACCAATAATGCATGCTTTCATAGATGCCTCCTTCTAGTCTATCCTAGAAACCTTGTAAGTCTTGGTTTTTCATTCTCTATCCATATATAGCACAGCATAGGGTTTCTACTGTAAAATTCCCTCCCCAAAGGCTGCCCCACCCCTAGTGAAAGTCTGTTGCTACTGGCCTAGCTCTCAGAATTTCTTTCTCATATGATTGCAATAGACTTCTGTCGATGCTAATCTTATTGATATCCACATTTCGTACCTCTAGCATTATGTTTAACTTACATAATTAATCCACTACCTCAACAAACTTAAACAGCCACCCAGGAAGTATAGAACCTTAACACACTCTCCAAGATCTTTCACAGGTTAGACATGCTCTGTTATTTTTCACTGTCTTCCCACATGAATCTGACAGTTCTGTTGCACAGTGCCTTCAAGGACATGTCTGCTAACAACCACCTCACTTCTTTAATTTTCAATGTTTTGTTCTTGCTTTCTCTAGCAATATGAGCCTCACTCACTTTCCAATGGCTCATCTTGAAATGTCATCCAGTCTCTCACTTGGAATAAACTGTTGCTGAATTTTGCGTATTTTTGGCCATACTATGAATGCCATACTTTGTGCCTCCTCAGCAATTCATGGTAAAACCAAATTCTTCAGTTCTTCAGTACTGGGTGGAGCTTTCAGGAGGTGATTAGGGCCATGAGGTCTCTGTCTCCCTGAATGGTATGATACATTATAAAAGGGTTTGCAGGGATGGCCTTGGCCTTGCATTCCTTCTGCTTTATGAGGACATAGAGTCAATAACTCGTGGACGATGTGCAACAAGAAGCCATCTGAGGAGCAAAGAGCAGCTCTCTTTGTGCTGGTGTCTTTGAGCCTCCAGAACTGTGACATTCAATAAGTTCTATGATTTATAAATTAGCCAGTCTCTGGCATTTTGTTGAGGCAGCATGAATGGATGACTAAATCTTCTCTTAGGCTGAACATTCCATGACATCGTCATTGGGATAAAGTACAAATCACACAGAATTTGATAGTAAACATTTAAAGTTTTCAGTGTTCTATTTACATATTAGCAGCCATTTGACCCAACATTTTCAGGGTCATATTTCTTACTTGTAACTTAAGCATATTAACAACTTCATGGAATTCTACAAAGATCAAATATCACTGTGTAGATAGTAGGTATTCAGTAATGTAGGTACAACATCTGGCACAAAACCTTGTTGCTTAAAGTCAATTCATTAATATTGCTAACTAAATGAGTCCACAGACACTGTGATTTTAGGCAGACTTCAAACCACATTCACCCACTTGGATTATGCTAGATGGTAAGGGGGATGGGCCAAACAGCTCTGATCACCACATTTATTCCATGCTATGTATTTACATACATATTTATGTGTGTATATATATATGTTAAAGCTAGTATTTATATATATTTACATATATCTATATAAATATGAAAGCTAAAATTTCCTCTCTCTAGAAATGATATCTTGCTTGGCAGTGTAGACCTTCAGTCTGCCACATAGAATTACTGTTTCCTCACTTCTGATTTATTTTGATGTCATTAAGGCACAGATTAACAATGACAATTTTGTCTACAATGATGTTCCCAATATACAATTTGAAGATGAACAGAATTTGTTCACTTGATACACAAAGCAGAAACTGACATGGTTAAACTTTTGCTATGATATAAAGACTTAACATCAGCTTATGAACCTCTATGCCGTGGTTCCTAGGGGAAACTATAACTCTTTTGGGAAAAAGATTTTTCCTTTTCTGTACAAAAGCCTTTTTTTTGTAGTTCATGGGGCTTGAACTCTGGGCCTGGGCGCTGTCACTCAGCTCTTCAGCTCAAGACAAGCACTCTACCACTTGATCCACAGTGCCACTTCTGGTTAGATAAGAGTCTCATGAACTTTCCCGCCTGGGTTGGCTTTAAATGATGATCCTCAGATCTCAGCCTCCTGAGTAGCTAGGATTACAGGTGTGAGCCACCAGCGCCCAGCCAAAAGGCACTATTACAATGACTATTAGAGAGAAATATTGTCATGATCAAGCAAGATAATAGTCCAGTGAGTACCTAATACATAGTAGATGCTCAATAAATTAATTCCTTCTCTCCTTTTATTATGTTTATAAAAGCTTACAGCATATTTACCATCTATTATGAAGCACTTCAATAATTAAAAATTAAAGACAGTGATCAAAATAAAAGAGCACAATGGCAGTCATTTCTCAAGTCTCCCGAAATCTCTGACATTTTTTTTCTAATTATAGTATTTTGCTAATCTACAAAGTTCAGAAATTCTCTATGGGACCTCCTAGTCATAGTGTGGATCAGTGAGTCGCCACTTAATTGAAAAGCTGGATTTAATAAGGAAACAATAGTTATTGTGCCTTCAAAGAGACCATTTTCCATGCTAATTTATTCTCCAATGTATTCTTTATGTAAAAAGAATGTACAAGCATGCTTTTTTATACCCCTGTAGTAATTCTTGGTGGGCACATTTTTCAACATGCTTTATGATTGCCCAAGTTGATATGTTTTTACATATTTATGCATGTGCAAACAATTACTGTGTGAATATCTATGGGCAAGAAAGCCATATTTTAACAAACTCCTCAGAGAAATAAAGCCTTCTCATTGTACTAAAATGTGGTGTAACAAAAGGCATTATTAAACATCCATTCCCAGGCAAAGAATGCAAAACAAATGCTAGACTCTTTTTCCACTGCCTGCCCCCCCCCCCAGATCCTTCCCAATGCATCTCCAGCCAAAGCACACACAGAGTTATACGGGATCAGAACACAAAGCAAGAGGTCAGCCTACAAAATGACAAAGACTGACTTCAACCTTCAGATTCCAGCTACAATCTCATACTCTTTTAGCTGGTAGCTGACTGACTTGTGGGCCAGAATTCCTGATCCTGCCCTCTCCCTGGGCTCTGATTCCTGCCTGCTCTTTATTTTTCATCTACTTTTGAAAATATCCACTATTACTTCTCACTCCTAGGAACTACTTCCAAAGTTAGTTTTTCTCAACCTTACTAGGTACAAAAGTTTTGTGCAGGTTTTTGGAGAAATAAGTGAAATATTCTTTTGTGCAGATACGTATTTTGAGGTAGATATGTAGACTTGTCAGATAATGCAATAGGTACGTGTCAGTCTGAGTTGGTGAAACACAGTCATCTTCTAGTATTCATAAGGAATGGGTTCAAGGACCTCTCGGGGATGTTCACATTCCTTATATAAACTGATATCCTATCTGTATAGAACCGTGCACATCCTCTTGTATACTGTACTGGTTATTTTACTATTTTGGCTTGAGACAGGGTCTTATTATGTTGTCTGGGCAGGCCTTAAATTCATGACCCTCCCACTTCAACCTTCTGATTGGCTTGGATTTATAGGCATGTACTGTTCTCAGTGGTACAGTGTACCAACCACTTTTATGCATTTTTAAATCATCTCTACATTACTTATAATACCCAATACAATGCAAATGCTTTGTACACATTAGTTATGCACCATTGTTTAGGGAATGATGAAAAGGAAAAATAGGTTTATGCATGTTCAGTACAGTTGAAATCTTTTTTCTAATATTCTCTATCTTCATTTGGTTAAATCTGGGATGTAATTGTACTTAGAAACATGGCTCATGAGCACAGGTCACAATTTGTAGATTTTTATTGCTCTGTCTCTATTTTTTTATTTATTTATTTTTTCGTCAGTCATGGAGCTTGAACTCTGGGCTTGGGCGCTGTCCCTCTGCTCTTCAGCTCAAGGCGAGCGCTCTACTGCTTGAGCCACAGCGCCACTTCCTGTTTCTTAGTGGTTTATTAGAGATAAGAATCTCACGGACTTTCCTGCCTGGGCTGGTTTTGAACCTCTATCCTCAGCTCTCAGCCTCCTGAGTAGCTAGGATTACAGGCTTGAGCCACTGGTGCTTGGCTCTGTCTCTATTTATTTATTCTGTCTCTGAGCAAACATTTTTTTAAAAATAGAAGAGTTTGGTGTAACTTCCTGAGTTTTAAAAATAATTCTATTTCTAGTAATTATCTTTTTATAACATTGTATTATTAGAAATAATTCTATTTCTAATAATTCTGTTTTCCTAGTAGAGAAATCAAGGCATCACTACTTGTATGTTTGATACACATACAAATTTCTGCTTGCAAAGTCTACTAAAAAGGATATGGTGTTCTAGAACATACACCTTGGGTTGAAAACATATACAGAAGATTTAGAAGTAAATCATATGAATAGCTGATATTTTGAACTATGAAATTATTTATGGTCTCAAGCAAAGATACAGAAATAGCATATAATGCATTGATGTGGAGAAGAGGCTGCTATTTGAGAATGAGTTGACTTTTAGTTTAAAAGAATACATACACAACCAAAACAGAGAGTTCTCTCCTTCATTCTCCATTTAATCTTAAAAGGAATCATTTCCTACTGACTTAGAGCTTTCTGGCATCATTCTTTCTGATCATCCCTTTCTATTACACTCATCTCAGATAGATGAATACCTCTCAGTCTTCTATGCACTGGCTAACATCAGTATATGACTATAAGAAGACATTACATGACAAGTAGCACCAATTCTATATCTTTCTAGAACAAATCTGAGATTACTTGCATCCACATATAAAATCATAGGTATAAATTTCTAACAAAAAGGACGTCAAAGCTAGGTGATCATGAATGTCAAACGTCCCTTTTGTGAATCTCAAAGAATAATAACCTACTTCTAAACACTTCAAGGAGTTTATCCTTTTATAACTGTCCAAAAACTACATTTTCTGTAATTTTTATATGATAATGTTGGCTTCATCCCATTTGTGCTTTGTATAGACTTAAATAATAACTTCTAGTGATTGTTAAAAAAAGAAAAAATTTAGATCTCCAAAACAATAATAACCAATTTATTTATTGACTGTTCACTAGGTAACAGAACACATTATATCACTGATCCTCACAATGACTCTGTGAGGAAGGTTCTAGTATCATCATCTAGTTTACAGATAAGGAAACAGGAGCATGGGTTGATGGTTAGTGTCACAACCAGGATGAAATCTCAGACAGTCCAAGCCCAGAATCTATCATTTAACCACTACATATAAAATAAGTGTTTTCTTGGGTGTTAGGAAGCGAATAAATTTGGTGAGGTAGTCAATATAAAAGTGAGGTGGGGGCTGGGAAGGTGGCTTAGTGGTAGATTGCTTGCCTAGCATGCATGAAGCCCTGGGTTCAATTCCTCAGTACCATGTAAACAGAAAAAGCCAGGAGTGGCGCTGTAGAGCGCTATGCTTGAGCAAAAGAAGCTCAGGGACAGTGCCTAGGCCCTGAGTTTAAGCCCCAGGACTGGCCAAAAAAAAATGGTGAGGTAACCTTAGAGACCCTGGATACAGAGAAAATTACAAAACATTTTTAGAAAACTAAGTGTTCAAATTATGTCACTGCAAAGAAATTGCCTTGCCTTTACTTAATCCATTGCTTCTCAGACTTTGAAACTCAAAACCTGTTTCATGTACTTCTTAATAACAACTCCAATGTGGACAGAAGGGAAGCCTACTGCATTGTTGATGGGAGGGTAAACTTGTTCAACCACTTTGGAAAGTAGTATGGAGGTTCCTCAAAAGACTCCACATAGAGCTCC